GGAATGGAGGAATGTAAGAAAGGAAGAAAATTCTGTACTATTGCACAAAAAGATAAGAAAGCAAAAAGAAACATATGTTAATCATAAAGCTAAAAGTTTGAAACAAGTACATTTTTTTCTTTAACTTTAATGAAAGTAATTTTTTGAGTTATTATCTTTTTACTTATATATTCTGTATGGGTAAAGTGACACCAGTCAGACATTACTGTAATAATGATGACTGGTTTAAATTTAAAAAAACAAACAAACAAAAAAAAAACATGCATACATAGAAAACTGACAAAAATCTGTGACATTGACATTATCACAAATGTCACATGATGATTTTTTTTAGTATTTTTCTTACCTTTAAAACATTAAAACATTTCCTCAGCCCACTTCCATTCTGAGGCAGATCTCCGTGGAAACAAAACAATAATAATTCTGGTAGAATAGGCCACGAACAAACATGATATTATGATTTGAATATAATTTGTGATGTAAGAAATAAACATAGGACTCTTTTCTTTCTCTGTGCACTGCAGCAGAACCTCAGCAGAGGAAATCATGTGAGCAGCATCACAAGGTAGATTTAATGAACATATTATTTTTAATGTGCTGCATCTAAGTTCATTTCCATGGCAACTGTATTAATTTTGAGAAGACGTGAGGACAGATTAAATGTGTTGCACATGAATTCCTTCTGTACAGGAGCTCCAATGGGGCTTGAGCGCCCTCCAGTGGCTGACTTTGAAAAAACATGTTCCACCAACTACAGAAATGACTGATACATTGTTGTGATGTTTACATAAAAAGTTGATGTCAGAATACTTCCTTCCTAATGATAACCACCATGATGGTTTATTGGGCATTTATATATTTGAGTGTTTCACCTCTTTCATCCTTAGTAGCCTCAGGATACTGTGTTTCCTCCTCCCATTAGAACCACAGAGGGGTTTTTATTGCTTCTATAAATAATCAAACTGTAGCCAGAGTATCCATGCTTCTTCTCGTGTCTGACTGACCCAACACGGAGCGTCCTCAGCTCTTAGTGTAGCTTCTGGGGTTTCCTGGAGGCAGCTTAATGACTGAGAGGTTTGCAGGGTCTGATTAGATTACCGCTATCCTCCTCCTCACTCTGCAGCTGAGCTGGAAGAGCCCGAAGCTTTGTAAACTCGATCTCCCATCCATGATAATGGGATTGCATGATGGAGACTAAAGAAAGGAAAAGACAAACAAATCTTCCCACCAAGATGATTTGTGTGTGGTACAACATGACTTAAGCATTTACTAACACTAATAACTCACACATGCTAGAACGAACCCCGCATCTGGTCCGTTTGCAGGCAAAGAACAAAAAGAATTAAACATCTAAACTGGAATAAAAGACGGACAACTAAATTCTGCTTATCTTTTACAAAATGACTGAAGAAGCAAAATAAAAGGTAGAAACTAAAAAGTGGACATTTCCCAAAAAGGTATTTTTGTTGTAAACTACATTTTCTGTGCCTTAAAAGTGCAACATATAAGAGGATTTTTCAGTGAGAAAATCCCAAAAGAGTCTAATGTTTTTGTTATTTTGGAAGGGTCGTTATCCATCCATCCATCCATTTTCTGAACCCGCTTGTCCACGTAAGGTCGGGGGGTGGGGGTTGGGGGGTTGGGGGTTCTGGTGCCTATCTCCAGCAGTCAATGGGCAATCAGGCGGGGTACACCCTGGACAGAGAGCCAGTCCATCGCAGAGGGTGGTTATACTAAAACATATTTCATATACAGCTGGCTGTGGGGATTGTCAGATTTTCTCCTTTCAAAACAAAGGAAGGAGGGACATAACTACTGTCAGTGAGTGTGGGGTTGCCATGTCTCCTGCGAGCTAATACTGCAGTACCGGCAGTTGTAATCTGACGACGACTGGTAAAAAGCTCCAGAATTGTTTAAAGTGGTTGCAGTAACCAAATTTTAACAGTGTCATTTTTTACTTCCTTTCTGCATAATGCACCTTTAAAGGTGTGTATCACCAAAAAACATTAGTAATGACTATTTCTGATTTTATTGTTCACTCTGAATTTTTCATGCAGGCTGAACATGAAAACAGTCTCCTACATCTATCTCCTTCATCAGCTTCTGATTTACTTTAAGACTTGAAAAGCCTGACAGATCTCCATCACACACTGCCACTTAACATCTTGGCTCAAGACGGGGAAGGATGTTGTTGGTTTAGAATCCCGGAAACAGCAGAGAACGTCTAGGCTAGTAGAAGCTAACCGTCAGCATTAGCAATTCCACCACACAGCAGAACTCCTTCAGGCTTGTGTAACTTGTGGAGATGAAACATCAATGCTGCAAAGTTAATGGAGTCTGGTAGAGTTATGTTGCTGTTAGCCAGTCAGGAAATAAGACCCAGAATCCTCTGACGTCTGAAGCTTCTTACTTGTCTGGCAGACTTGACTGACACAGGTGTATCTGAGCACAACGGGAGACTAATAATTGTACAACAATGTTTGACCAGGTTTTGCTTCCCGACGTAATCATACAAGCAGGGATTTATGATTCAATACACTTTTTTTCCACCGCTAGACGGTACCCCGAGAGAAAAAACTATGAATTTCTGCTTTAAAGCATCTAGTTTCTGCCATGCGATTGGTTGATAAGTTATCTGTGTTAAACAAGAATCTTACTGTAATACTTTTGGTTCACTCTGTTGAAGGAGTGCAACAATAATCCATCTACATTAATTATTTGGTCATCAATCCATTACTGGGTGTATGGTTATTCATCAAATGCGCTTTTGTTTTGAAAATTGCATTATTTTTAGGGTCCATTGACACGCTTTTTCCACCTCTTCCTGCACATCAACAAACACATTCTATTAAGAACCATGGATTCTAAATCGAATTAATTCAGAATGGTATTGTAACAGAATTTGAGAAATCGGCAAACATTGAATCACTATCCACTATATCAATATAAATGATACAGTGAACAAACTAGTGATTTATACCTTTTATCTGTTGGTCTCTCATTCCAAACCTGCTTCTTAGTAGGTTTAAAATACACAGGATATATATTTACTAGCTAGACAGCCTTTTGATAAAACCCTTGTAAGATTTGCCGGAAAGTAAATGTGGTGCAAAGATGAGCTAACACTCACACAGATGGAGGCTTCGATTCGACGTGCAATAGAACAGTTTGGTATTTTTTTCTGTCAAAAGCAACAGATCTGAGGCTAAAATCGTGTGAATATTTCTAAGTGTTTATTGACCGCTGCATAATGGCTCATTAACATTTATAATAATATTTATAAGTCCAGATGCCCCAATTAAAGCTGCAGTATAAAAAGAGGGCAAGTACTTAATTATACAACACAATAAATAAAATCTTTGTGGGAATTGTTTTCACTATATGAGTTGAGCAGATTTTACGGAGTTTGGATTTAAATTAAAACCAGTTCAGATCTATAGGATTGACAATCTACTTCCTGGGTGCAACGAGGCGATCACCTTTAGGTGAACTTTTCCTTCATTGAGAAAAGGGTCAAACAAGACGCGGTTTAGTTCTCACGGAGTTCCTCGTTTGATTGAGTTTAAGCAGAATAATAAATAAGACAGAAATGATTCTCCCAGTAGGACTGAGACAAGACAGCTGAGTAAACAGATCAGCTGGTCTCGGTCTGCTTTTGTTGTTTGCCAAAAACATTCAAATGAGGTGAAAACCTGCCTTTCCTGATGTCAAGAAAATAAACTGTGCAACCTTATAAATGATGCAGAACAGTAATTTATTGTCTAGCAGTCTTACTTTTCAGAGTTTTGAGCTAGCATCATGCAGTGGTGCGCCCAAGGGGTGGCCTGGGGAGCCAAGCCATCCCTGGAAAATTGTTGACCTCCCGCGGGGCATTGGGTTGAACACCAAATCCCCGTCCGAATGGCGGGCACGGGAAATGTGGTGTACCGCCTTCCCGGTGTCGCTCATGGGGCCTGAGTCCTTCTAATCGAGGCTCAGCCCGTGGAATGTGTGAGGCCAGTAACGGTCCCTGTCATGCTGAGGCTCAGCCTTCTCGGAGTCGGGTTGTTTGGGAATGCAGCCCAAAGCCGGTGGTAAACTCCATCTAAGGCTAAATGCCGGCACAAGACCAATAGTCTACAAATACCTTAACGGAAAGTAGAAAAGAACTTTGAAGAGAGAGTTCAAGAGGGCGCAAAACCTTTAAGAGTTAAACGGGTGGGGTCCGCCCAGTCCAAGTCAGGGATTCAAGTCGGCAGGTCAGGGACAGACAATTCGACTGGAAAATCGTTTCTTGTCTTTTCTGTCCGAAAATAAAACGCTTGCTGTATATCTTTGCACTTCTTCAGTCACGGGTAAAAAACATTCATATTTTCAGGCTTTTTCCACAATGCATTTTTCAATCTGTTCCGTGTCTGATGCTGAATATCTTTTTACTTTTTGAGGGGGAAAAGGCGGTACTGTTGACAAATTTACAGGAAGCTGCATCCTGACCAATCACAAGCTTGTGGCCTCCGTCACTTTCGACAGATAGTTAAAAAATTGGGCATGTCTCCCGTCACCCTCTGCGATCCCGTCGAAGAGACCTTGCGCCGATGCATAATGCCGTTGCATGTCTCCATACAGATACAGAAGGAGAAGTATAAATTAGACTTAAGCTAAAACAAAATGTCTGTAAAATTGACATCTTTGCCTCTCCAATAGACTGTTGATGTTGATCAGCATTTCTTACATTTTCAAATTCAGATTGTAACTAACACGACTGCTTTGGACCTATTTTGAGGATTACAAATAAAAAAAATGTACCATAAAAAATTGTTTGTACTTGTTTTGATTAAAAAGAGGACTATAAAAGGTTGAGTATGGAACACAAACACTGGCGAGCACTCTGGTGAACTCTGGTGTTCAGAGCTGGTATTTGAACAACAGAACTTTCTTCCAGCTGCTGGGATGCTGGTTCACTGCTGACGTGTTCCAGCACCATGTTCAGAGACAAATCATACAGGATGACACATTTCTACTAATATGTTTATTTTACAACAGTATTTGCCCTTTACATCATTTTCTGGGCTCAGAATCAGCTGCTTGACTTGTCAGGTCCGTCATTCTACACAGTCCCAATCTTGCCTTGCTGAGCTGACTTTTTAGCAAAACGGTGCCCTCTAGTGGCTGGTAGATGTAAACATAAATACAGTGTCTTGCCCGACAAAATAAAATTTGATAATTTTTCTCTTTAAATAAAGCTTTTAAAGGAGAAACTACATTAATTCTGCACACCTCTGAATGCCACGTGGAGGTATTTTTTTAAATCTAGCTCTTATTACTAAAATGTTCCATATTCTAACTTTAACCTGATGACTTAGGCTCTTGCCTTGAAAAGTTTTGACACCCTTACTGCAAAGGGTCAACTTCAGCAGGTAATATGTCTTTATAGTATAAAACTAAATAGCACACTTGGTGCATCCAGGGAATTGATGCAGCATTCACAGCCAAAATACCCAAGTTATGTGATACAGCATGCTTTGATCCAACTAGGCTCAACCTAGCCATTAGCTCATCCATCCTGAAGGACATTTGTCAGAACAGAGGCTGTTCAACAAGTTATTAATTAACTTTTACACAGAAATACACTTTATAAATGCCAGAAAAGTTGCTTCGCTGAATCTCTTTCAAACCAAAATTATTTCATTTCAATACAAAACAATTTGTTTTCTCGGCTCTCAAGCACTTAAAGGGATGATGTGAAACAAACACACTAACATATACTCAACAACTTAATTAGAAACACAATTAAAGTCTTAAAATGAGCCTCCCTTCCATTATTTACTACAAACAGGGCTGCTCCAAGGTGTCCCTTCAAAATCATTAGTTAGATTTCATCTGCACAAAAGCTGGACACACACACACGCACATGCACGCGCACGCACACACACACACACACACACACACACACACACACACACACACACACACACACACACACACACACACACACACACACACACACACACACACACACACACACACACACACACACCATATAATAGCACTGTATAAAAATCATTTGCTTTGATATCCTAATACATTAAAAAATCATCAAGATGGCAGCAGATGATCTGCCTCCAAAAGAAGAATCCAGCAAAATGCTTGAAGCACTTTAATGATAACGTCCCTGCCAGTGGCTGTTTGGTTGATGAAGGGGGGAGTCCTGCTGTTTGGCCAATCTCACACAGAGGAGATTGTGTGGAGAGGAATTAATAGGACATGACAGGATAAACAGTCTCCGAGGCCCACTGTTCAATGGGCTTCTTTTCAGTTGGATAAAGACCAGTTTTTAGTTCAGGCATTCACTTCTTTACAGGGAATAAGTCAAAGGTAGTGGAAATAAAACCACCAGAGGAGGGGTGAGAGCAGCAGGAGGAGGGTACTGGGAAACAAAAGCATCAGTTTTAAGACTCGTGCACGGATAATCCCGGATATAGGAGTCATTATGACACATAAGTATGAAAAGAATACATTGTAACATTGTTATTTTCCCTATTATTATTTTTAATCTTCTCTGCAAGATTATCTTAATGTTGTTTTGCAGAAATGACTCACGTGTTCTGTCCCATGGTGAAATAAGCTGAGTAAATGAAGAACACGGGAGCAAACTTACCTCACTGCCATGGGTGAGTGCCACGGCCTCAGCGTGAATCCAGATTTGGTGCCTGCTCAGACGCCTGCTGGGACTCAGACAGGACAGTATCTTCACTCATATGAGCTTAATTTGTCACCGCTCCAGCAGCCAGAAGAGAGGGATGAAAGAGAAAGCAGCAGCCAAAACAAAATGATTACACACAGCACTCGTTCGACGTCTACCGAGGTGCTATGAGGGAATTAAGTATTTAATGGGAAATTTGTAGTTTTCATTCAAGTACATTTATTTCACAGCCACATTGAGGCCACATGCTGACTCTCAGTAACTTAAAAAAACATGAACACAATTTAAACAGATGTTCACTAATCTTTTAGACTCAATAGTGGCCGTTTGGGGCTGACTAATATCTTTGAGGCGATCAAACGAGGACATTTTGTGTCCTCGGAGCAGTTCACATATAGGTTCATCTGAGATAACTGCTCAAAAAAATGATCCACATAAAGATCAAAGCGTAGCTCAAAGACGGCATCCCGAAAAACACGCAAATGGAAAATGTCTTATTTTCTCACCCATCTTTTCTGGTAAATGTTATCCTATGAGTTCTTAACGATACCATCTGGCCTGAAGTAACCATCGCACAGAAAATTCAATAGCAATATCGTGTGTGAAATACATAAAACAGCTGCGTTTATTTAGCTGACTTTGAACAGACGTCATTCTGAAAGGGTTCTGGTTTTACAGACGTGGATAAACTTCTGTTATGACAGCTCCTTCAACAGATGTTCTATAGGATTGAGATGGAGGCTCATAAAAGGCCACTTGTTTGGTTTTAGGCCATTGTGGCCTTTTAGTATTTACTTTTAACATCCTTGTCAACGATTGCCTTTCAAATCCACTGGGAACACTCTCTCCTCAGCTTTATTGTCAGTGTGGTACCCACCCTGATCACAAACAGAACTGTGACTACTTTAAGTCTTTAACCAGACAGAATGATAGATGCTGCATCAACAACAGCCTCGCGAGCCAAGTTGGGTGAGTTTGCGAATGCTAATTTTCAGTTTGAAGAAAATCTGAGTGGCGTTTTCTGACCTGAGCGTTCCCCCGTTTTCCTCGTCTTTTTTTCTATGCAGCAAATCGAGTAACAAGTAAATAATAAGAAGAATAACAAGTAAAAATAAAAGGTTTCTCAGTGAACTTGTACTTTTAACTTATTCCTCCTACGTTTTTTCTTGTCCAATAGAATTTCTTCTGTTAATTTTTAATGAAGTTTTTTAACCTCATACAGTGTTTACAGTGCAGCATGGTTCTAAACAGAAATGCATGCAGGATTTATGCTTTTAGGACAGATTTGTCTTAATATTTAAAGTCCATTGATTAAAAATAAAAACCTATATTTTGTAGCTCATTATGTGTCGTCCACGGTTCTTGGGAAACAGCCGCCCACCTTCACCATCCCTGGCCATCCATCAAAGACATTGGTTTTCTCATCACTAACGAGTAGCTGACAGAAGAATAGAAAACACTTGTTTTAATCATGCTGCTTTACCTGCACTGTACTTTAAAATAGTCTCTTTTGACACAAATAGGACAAATAAACAGGCACTGAAAGGGTTCACTAACCTTCTCATAGAAGCTTTTGATTTTTGTCCCTGCTCTTCCTGCAAACACCCAGTTGTCTCTGTGGTTAAGAGAACCGATCAAAGTGCTACCCATCGCGACAAACGTCTCCCTTATTTCGTCTGTCATCCTGCAACAAATGAGTGGAAATGGATCACATTTTGTAACACTAAATCATTTTCAAATGCTGAAAAAGCTGTGATGTGAGCTCACTTTGTTGTTGCATCATCATATGAGGCCACCAGCACAATCATTCCTGGTTTTATGTCCTTCAGGTACGCAAGGATCTGTCCAGAATCTTTACCAAAATAAATCATACAAAAGTAATTACATTTAAATTTCAATAATGCCTGAAATGTGCAGAAACTTACCTCCTGTAATCATATTGAGGTAGCCATATTTTTCTATCACTCCATTTGTATCTGTTTATTGAAAAGAAAAGAAAAAGTTTAAGTGAATGAACAGAAAAACAGACACTGAGCATGAAATAGAAGTGAATAAAGAAGGAAAAACCAGAGACTGTAGAAACAACAAGGATGGTGCACACACAACATGTTATAGAAGCCAAGAACAAAACAAACGCCTCCTAGTGGCTGGTGTCAGTAGAAGATTTAAGCCCCACCCCTTCTATGTAAATAAATGAGGCATATTCCTAATTATGATGTTGTCCAGGTGTTTCCTCTTGTTGGTTCATTTAGCTCAATATTAAATCGTCTTGTAACCTAAGCTGAATTAAGATATTTAACGCTTTAAAAAGACTATGGTTATACGTAGGGTAGCTACGACTTTCTGCCCCACACACAGCCTGGCTTGAAAAGCGCATCATGTCAGCACTTGCATAAAAGATAGTTGGGCTTCCGTTTTGAACCAAGAAAACAAAAATACAGATGCTTCATTCATTTTTATTTAGCCTTGTGGTGACAGCTTCTTTAGGTATAAAAATAAACTCCTTCAACTTACACTATTCAGATGCCACAATAGACCCGTAACACACAGGAGACTGACAAAAAAAATGTCTGGAGGGGGCATCAGCTAAAATTCCACATAAAACTAAGATGTAATTGGATACAGGCAATTCGACTAGAAGAAGGAGAAACCGACACCATCCCTAACAAGTGTGTCGAGCCACGAGTCTGTCAAGCGTATCAAGTTTGCAGACGACACCACCGTCGTCGGACTAATCTCTGACGGGGATGAGTCTGCCTACAGAATGGCGGTCACACGGCTGGTGTCCTGGAGCAGCCACAACTACCTGGTGCTAAATGCACAGAAGACAGCGGAGGTCGTTGTGGACTTTAGGAAGCACACAGCGCCACTCCCCCAACAACCTTGTCTAACACCCCATCACAACATGGAATTATGCTGCTTCCTGGACACCACCATCACCCAGGACCTCTCTATCTATATGATAAAAAAGGCCCAACAGAGAATCCATTTCCTGAGGCAGCTGAAGAAATTCTACCTATCAACGCAGTTGATGAGGCAGTTCTAAACCGCAATCATCGAGTCCATCCTCACCTCTTCAATCACCGTGTGGTATGCTGGAGCTACCATCAGGGATGTGAAAACGCAGCAGTGTGTTGTACGCTCTGCTGAGAAGGTCATTGTCCACAAACTCCCCTCCATACAGGACCTGCACACCAGGATATTGAGGCGTGCAGGTTGGATCACGGCTGACCCGTCTCACCCTGGACACAGTGTCTTCGGCTCGCTCCCATCTGGCAGGAGGCTCCGATCCATTCGGACCAGAACCTCTCGCCACAAAAACAGTTTCTTCCCCTCTGCAGTCGGACTCATGAATGACAATCATAGAACTGCCCACTCCAGCTGACCCTGTGTTGTGTCAGCACCTATACCAGTACCCGACTTGTATAAAGTAACTGCTTCTGTGTTTATTGACTCTCTATGATATATCATTTTGTTGTGTTTAAATCTTAATTCTAATTTTGCTCATCTTTTTTTTTTTTGCACCAAGTACTGCGGCAATTTCCTAACGTTGTCATTCTCGCACACATGGCAACAAAACCCTTCTCATCTGATTCTGAGCCAGCATCACGTTCATCTGACAAAGGGAGTGTTTCTGGGTTCCTTCATGTGGAACAGTTCCTTTAACATCAATAACAGTGGAAGAACAACCAGGTAAAGGTGGAGCCTCACAATCAAACTGGAACACAAATATAAACCAAACCCACCCTCAGGTGAGATAACACTGCAAAGATGTACAAGTTTAAATGTATTATGCAAATGAAAATAAATCCTTTAGATTACAAGCTGAGAGGGGATCCATTGAATTAAGATGTATTAGATAGAATTTAGGAAAAATACTTTATTTCCAACTCATAGCTAAGTTTAAAACAGGAGCTGATACAATAGTAGTAAACATGCTATCGTTAATTTTTAAAGTCATATATGTCAAAGTCTCAGCTGTGGATGGCATGTTTACCTGTTGTCTATGTGTTTCTTGTTTCAATGAAATAAAGACCTAATGCAGAGGTATCCAACCCTGGCCCCGGAGGACCACTAAACAGCATGTTTTAGTAGTTTCCCTGCTCCAACACACATGATTCAAAAGTTAAAGGACCTGTTTAGCAGGTCAAGTTCTCCAGATGCCTGATAATCAACTACTGATTAAAATAATGTTGACGCAGACTAACGTCTAAAACATGATGGACAGGACGCCTCGAGGACCAGGGTTTTGACACAACTGATCTACTGCAACTTTTTATTGCTGGAGGATTTTAGACAAATGCAAATGTTTTTATTTTATTTATTTTTTACCATTTATCACCACAATATTCAGTCCTGGTCCCACGTTGTTCAGAATGTGACTCATGATGCTGTTGAGACACAAATAAAAACCTTCTCAGGGAACTATTTTTATAATCATATAGTCAGCTAACCCAGATTTACCACACTGATACATACTTCTTCCCATCAAAACAGATCTTTGGCCCGACAACAGTAGCAGCTCCGCTATGAATACTGAAAGCAAAAGAGTCCGGCGGACAGGGTTTGGACAGGCTGCACTTTGGTTCTGGTGTGGTTGTAGCTCAAGAAGTAGATCAAAAAGATGGAAGACAAAATTACCCTAAATTAGCCTAAAATTCTGGTTGACGACAGAAAATATTTCGTAAAGGGCCACATTTGTTTCAAAATAAAATTGTTTGGCTTACCGGATATAAAAATGTTATGGATTTGATAAAAGCCTGGAATGAAAGAAAAGTGACTGTAAAGCCTAGATGGCAGATGAAAATGTATTTCAGAATTTAAAGGAGGGAGTAATCTCACCAATAACTTCTTTTGCCTTCTCATGTGCATGAAATGAATCCATAAAAAACTTTGAAGTGACGATGATGATCAAAATGACAGCAGTGAGAGTGAAAATACCTGCGTGGAAAAACGAAAGGCAAGATAGAAGAGAGTTAAGTGTCAGCAAACCAACAGACTCAATTCTGAAGGAAAATCTTACCTCGATATCTCATGTCTGCAACAGATGAAGTCTTTGGTTCTCAGTTTAAAAAATCCTTTTAAATGTTCTTCATGTGCTCCAGTAACAAAAAATAAGAAAGAGAAAAGTGAAATGTCCCAGGTAGTGTCTTCTGTGAACACGCCCGCTGACAAATCCACCTTCTGCTGTGGGTCAAGAATTTGTATCAACATCAGAAAAGAGCAAATAAAGCACCCGTGTCACAGTACTCGGTTTGATCAAGGCCAGGATGAGGCATTGTAAAGTTACGCTTAGTGTCACGCCCATTATGAACTTGATTGTCAAGTTTCCCTCCTAATCAAAAAATAAAAAAATACAGAAACACATTCCAGTGATCCCGACCAAGAAGCTTTGTGTTCATTCAGTGTGCACAGAAGAAAAACATGGACATGAGACGAGGGGAGGTGAAAGGAAAATAGGGGAAAATAGGCCAATAGCCTCATCTTTCAAATTGCGCGAGTATATGAAAAAAAAGGGTTAAAGAATCATTGTAGCAGTTGTCAGAGTTTTCTATTTGTATGTAAATTTTGGTAAAACCCATATCTGCATAAAGCAGCTCACACATAAAACGCAAAAGACCACAGAATAAAAAAACAATCACAGGATTAAAAGCTCAGCCGTAGAAAACACATTTTCCTGATAAGAAACTAAAAACATCGCAGAATCAGATGTGAAATTAGGTCAGCAAACCTGAAATGCTGGCCAAGAGGGAGCACAAGAAAACACGTTCATGGTAATAGAACATGCCAGAGTGTTGCTATTAAAAGTCCACAGTTTTGATAGGAAGCAACAATGTTTGCAGAGCGACAAGCCATTAGTCACATCTCAGAGGCAAAGCAAAAAAGAACTATGATAATCCTTTAAAAGGACAATTCAGATCTGGTGAAGTAGCGTTTTGTGGAGAACGGTTAGTGTCTTTGTCATTGTAGAAACTTGTTTGAGAAAACTGAATTTAGAGAAATGGAATTTAATTCTCAACAGACTGACAAGCTACGGCTAGTACAAGTGAGGCATACTGTTCAACTTTTTTGTATTTAAAAAACAAACTTGACCCAGTATGTACTAAAATGACCCTTTACCAGGTTAATGAAATGTCACTCAGACCCCCACCACCCGATGTGGCCAGAATACCGCACTTGCAACTTCAGAGTGGTAGGTCACCCCCTGATAGACTTAATAAATTGAACCTTACAAGCCTGGCATTGGAGTCTGCTTCCAGCTTGTTTTCTGCATGTTTTGGATCAGGAACACATCTGATTTGTTTGCTTTAGTGGTGAACCACTCCAAAAGAAACTAGTGAGACTGAGAAGACATTTCATTTGTCAGATTAAGGCATTCGAATGCACAGCAAGGAGATAAGTTTCACTTTTGGTTTTACTAACAGGACACAAGGGGGTGCTAAAAGCAAGCCAAAACTTTTCCTTTAAAACAACTTCAATCTAAAAAATTTACCTGTTTTTTATTAAAACTCAAATTTGTACACTTTAACTACCGTAAATCCTCTAATACAGGCCTGGGTCTGTATTTGACTCAAGCTCATCAAGCTCCAGGCCTTTATTGGAAGGAGGGCCAGAATTAGAGGCAGGCCTCAATTTCTATTTGAGCAAAATGAACTAACGGTTCACTGGAGTTTTTGACAATTAAAATTGTGCCCACATTTTCAAAGTTAAACACATTTCTTTTAACAACAGTAGTTTCTGCTTCGGCCCTCTCCCCCCTGCCCCTGCGCAGTGGCCGCAAACTCACTGATGCGCCTGCAGCCTCTCGGAGTTCTTGCTGCTCTAAACATTAAAATAATTATTTCATTTTCTGTTCCTCACTTCTGATAACCTTCAATGGTTTCTGTTTGTTGCAACCAGGTACAAAAACTAACTTGTTGTTATTTGACTATTTTTCTGTCCTGTCTCTGTTTATTATCTTCCTGCATCTCCTCTCAATCCTAAAGAGAAACTGCTACCTGGGTTCATATATATTCACCTTATGAGTTACCTTTGAACTGCAGTTCTAAAAGATCTACCAACCGCAAAAACAGAGGAGTGAACGCTGCTCGCCGCCCGCATCAGTGAGATGCGTCACCAGAGGACAAAACAGGTGATGCACCCCGCTCCACAGCGAAAAGCATCAGGCACAAATAAAAGACAGAAAACATAAAAGGAAATGAGCCGATATGAACGATCACGTGTTAAATTAGTTTTTGAGGTGGCGACACCTGATTTGATAATGTTATTGTGGCCGTGCTCAGGACGCAGACGTCTGGAGCGTGTCAACAATCAGAGCTTTGCATGCACACGCTGGTTAAGATTAGGATGGGGGTGAGGGTAAGGTTAAATTGCAAGCGGGTAAAGCTCACAATTTGGTTAAATGTCCGTTTTACGGCAGGTGTCAGTACCGACGCTCTGGCACAGCGCATTGCCCCCCCGACGCGCAGGAGCTTGTCCCCTGCTGACAGCAGGCTCCTGCCTTTTCCGAGGGCTGCATCTTGCCGGTCATTATCACGTGACAGCGACTAGTCGATGACAGGCATAAAAAGTCACTATAGAGCGGTGAAGTTGACTAGTGACTAGTTCATACAACCCCTGCTACTGCTCCCCAGAGTGTTCTGCAGCGCACGTTCTCTTTGAACTTGATATCAAATTTTCGCCTCCTCTTCGTCTCCGCACGGTTAAAGTTACCCTCGCGGTCTATCACTGGCAAATCAAAAGTGAGACGGATGACACAACCGCCCCCCGTACTTGCTTGTTACCACATTCCACCCGGCCAAAATAAAAAACGGCCATTATTCACCTCCGCCGACTCCAACACCGGCCAAAATATGATACCCGGCAGTTAATTGAATACAGGCCAATATTATGATAAATGACAAATGACCCGCGCTTGTATAGCGCCTCTCAGAGTAAGGACTCCAAAGCGCTTTACACTACAGTGTATCATTCATCCATTCACACACTCATTCACACACTGATGGTGATGAGCTACGATGTAGCCACAGCTGCCCTGGGGCGCACTGACAGAGGCGAGGCTGCCGAGCACAGGCGCCACCGGTCCCTCCGACCACCATCAGCAGGCAAGGGGGGTTAAGTGTCTTGCCCAAGGACACAACAGCAGAATTCTCTGTCCGGAGCCGGGATCGAACCTGCAACCTTCCGATTACTGGACAACCCACTCAACCTGTTGAGCTACTGCTGCCCCTATTAGAGAATTTTCGGTAACTATGTTATTTATAAATGTGAAACTGGTGGCTGTCTATAGCTTTTTTCAATTATGTTTACTTTAACCAATACAGCAAACTTGAAATTAGATTAGAGAAAAGGCCAAGCAGGTCTACTTAACAGGGGAAATCTAGCATTCATGGCCTCGCCACCTTGGCATGAAACCATAGAAAGCTGTATTGATCTAGTGGTGAGGAGAGCAGAGCACATCTTGACTTGTAGAAGCTAACTGCTAGCGTTAGCAACTCTGCAACATGGCAGGACAAGTTCATGTTTGTGTTATTTGTGGAGATAAAACACTGGTGTTGCATTTTGTACCCAAGAAGAAAGCGTGAACGAAGGCAGCAGAGGAGTCATGTTTCCGTTAGCCAATCAGAAGCAAGACGTTTGAAAATTGGGGATTTTGATGAGTGAAACTCAAAATCCTTTTAATTTATTGTGAAAAAACAATAAATAGTGAATGAGACCATTAAGACAACAGTATTCCACACTAGCACAAGCTGGTCAGTTTGGTCAGGGACAGCAGTAGCTCTGGAGGTGGGAGTAGAAGGTTGTCCAGTAATTGGAAGGTTGCAGGTTTGATCCTGGCTCTGACCAGAGAATGCTGCGGTTGTGTCCTTGGCCAAGACACCCACCTTGTCTGTGAGTGGTAGTAAGTAGGTAGGAGGGAGAGGTGGTGCCAGTCTTCGGCATGCCACGACTCTATCAGTGTGCCCCAGTGCAGCTGTGGCTACGTCATAGCTCATCCCCATCAATGTGTGAATGGGTGAATGACTGATTGTGTTGTGAAGCGCCTTGGGGGCTTTTAGAACACTAAGAAGGAGCTACACAAATACAGGCCATTAACTATTTAGTCATAACTAATCTGTATTCCTCTAAACTGAGGTTGCTTAAAGACAAAAAATGTTTATGACCTTTCCACTAAAACTCACTTTGAGAGATCTGAACTATCCCTGCTACACAAAAACATCTTTCATCCTCCCACTGACCTTTGAACTGCTGCTGACTTTGAACTCTGTGTGGAGATTATCTAAATAAAATTCTCACTTTTCTACAAATACCAAACAAACTCTTTAAGTATTTCATCACAGCAAAAACAGAAAGACAATAAAGAAGTAATGACAGTAGAGCTGCATTAAAGTGTGCAAAAAGGCGTAACAATAAAACACACGAAGATTACACCTGCAGATGGTAGAGCAATAAAAACTTCAGTATAGATGGAGGAAAAAATAAACTGGGTATGAAGATGGTAGTGAAATGATGGCAGTAAGGACTTTACAGAGTGTGCAGATGAAATTAAATGACAGTTTCATCAGAGAAGATGCTGTAAATACACAACCATGAAGAGAATGTGAGAAATACACAAGCATGTGCTCCAAGTTTAGATTAGCTGTTGCAGCAGGATCAGGGTGTGCGCCAAAAGTACGTTTGTGTTGGGTGCAGACGTGTTGTAGAGATTGATGATTTAACTTTGGGTTGTAACTGTATGTTTAAATCAGCAACAGCCCAGGCCTCGGGAGATTAATCAATTTCAGAGTGCTACACTGAAAATAAAGTTTTTGGACCAGATCTCACAGACAGACACAAAATAACTCCAAAGGTAAGAAGAAAAATAAATGTCAGGATTGTCAAAACAATTTAAGACATTTTAGTTTGAAAATACACAAACATAATAAATTAACAGCAATAAAAAATAAGCTTATAAATGTGCAGCTTTTATTATTTGTCTTTTTATGTCCCTTTATCAGTTCTATTTATTTGCAGTAAAAATATTTCTCATTAATATTTATGGTTACTAATTTAAAGAATAATCCAGCAACAGCTATTTATCAAATGAAGTAATACCCAAGAAAACCAGCAGATGGCTGTTGTGTGCTGCTGCTTACAGAAGGAACACAAAGCTTTGAGTGAAAATTAATATTAAAGGAAAAATCATTTAAGACAGAAAATCCACAGGTCACCTAAAACTGATACTAAACATTTCCAGCGCAATGACGCTGAAATAAACAACACATATCATCGGTATCAGGAGAAAACAAACACGCTTCAGTCAGATGTGAGGATAAATATTTTTAATAAGCAATATATTAGTTTATTTCTCAAACGTTCACAGACATAAATACCCGGCGACCAGAAGATGCGCATTTATTACAATCATAATAAAATGTCAAAACACATAAAGACGGAAGCCCTCGGCCAGATTTTATTGCTTCATTTGTTGATCACAATGAGGGAATAAGAGAGTGAAAGAAAACACTGTGAAGTAATTTCTAATTAATCATTCATCATTAACTGCCACCGGCATCCTGTGACACTCGGGCTCACAGCATCACAGCATCTGCTCACAACTCCCTGGCAGGTGCAATTCCAATTTTCCTTCTTTCTCTTTTTTTGTTTAGCTGTCAAAAAACATCATGCAGCCTCCTGCAGCATTGATGTCCTTTCTCATTTTAATTAAAGAAATAAATAAATCAGTGACTCTGAGCGCTCTAAAAGCAAATCGACCTTAAGTGGGTTAATGTTTGCATGAAAGAAGAAATTATTTCGAAGAAAACAAACATACAGCTCCAGTCCCAGCTTCAGTATTTTTAGCTGCAGATCAGTTAGCTTGTTTAGATATAAGAACTGCTTATTTCACAAGACCGGTCTTCTTGAGATTCAGAGGAGTGCTGCGGGAATTTAAAGGTGCACATTTATAAAGCTCCACTTGCTAATTAACAACATTTATAATGCTGCCAGTGAAATAATGCTTTCAATTTATAAACTAGAGGCCCATCTACAACGTCTGAGTAAGTGATTAACTCCAAGCATTATTACCAAACAACCCTATTTGGTTTTCTTTTAATCCCGGCGGATTGTGTTGCGCCAAAATTATTTATACTGTTAAAGAAGCACTAGAATATAAAGCTGTGGAAAGTATTTAATTAAACTTTGTGGTGGAGGCAGACAGAGCCAGCAGTAAAATGTGGTTTTAAGAAGATTTCTCTCTTTTCTAAAGAAAAACTGAAGCTATTTCTGTTCTTTTCAAAGTAAAATAACATTATGGAGGCTGCAATCACTCCTGGTTCATCACTGTATATCTTACATTTCTAACACAATAGTTCGGATCTGATGATTGAAGCAAACCATGTGGTCTGTAAGGTAAAATTATCACTTTCCTCAAAGGAGGCAGGTTGCTTTGAAGACAGCGATGTAACAGCCACATTCCTGTGAAACTGTGAAAAATATTCTACGTTTCTTTCGCTTTAACCCTGACAAAGTGGGATATTTCTCCCTCAATCCATCATGCTTTGGTTTTACATTTTACTGCAGTAAAGTGTTTTGTTTCAGCATTTTAAAACACATGTTGGAGTTTATTTTTATTCTATTATAACTGGGTTTTATATGAGGTGTAGACATAGTCATCCAGTGTCAGATACAAGCCTGCCACAATAGGCCAAACAAGAATTGATTAAATAATTCTCCTGTATAATAAATATATATTCCCCCAAAGTCGTCCTAATTTGTCCATAATCCAATATAATATCAATGTTATGATATATATATATATATCCAAGCATTATTACCAAACAACATATATATATGTAGCGTCATGAATGTCCTGTTTTTGACTTAAAGGTCTTGATCTGCTGTGTCTGCTCGAGCAGAGACACAGTCTCTGACACAGGCCTAATCTACATGAGATAGTGGCCAAGGTCTTTCATGCACTCTGCTCATCTAAACTGCTTCACCTCTGTTATTGCTCAAGATGAAGACGAAGAACTCTCTTGATAAACACATAATCAAACAACGTTTGTTATTGCCAATAATAATGTGAGCCCAATGTTCGATCAATCTGTGAAATGACAATGTTATTACTTGATATTATAATCCTGTGATCAGTAGTATTTTACAAGTAATTATAATCCTGGACATTTGCACTAGACACTGATGTGTCTAGTGATGATGATGACACGTAATGCTAAAGTCACACGACACATTTCCTTTTCTCTGATCCAATCAGAGCCTTCGTTTCTGACGCGAGGCGTGGTTTTCTGTGGTGTTTGTATAAACCCTCTTTTGCAAGTCAAATTCTGATTCGCCAGTAAACCAAAATATGACAATTATAAAAAATATTCCACGCCACCTTTTCTTTAGTTCTAGGAGTTCTACAGAAGTCTTGGACAGGCCATCCGGACTTCCTCCAAAAGAACCTCGACAAGCTGGATAAAATCTGTTGCAAGTTACACCTGACCGCAACGGTTCCTTCAGAATAAAAGCTGAACCTCACAACCCCTTCAGGGTCTCGCTGATGCCAATGATAACCTGTTGTGACCTGGAAGCATTCCAAGACTAGTTTGGTCAGCACCGCTGCTTTTCTACCAGCTTCGGTTCCAAGGAGGGTCCAAGAGGACCTCGATTTTCTGGATCTAAACGGAGGCTTCCCCTGGGTACGTAGACTGACAGATGGCGTCTCATGTGTGTTACAAATATCCGACTAAAGTTTAGAGCGAAACATTCACTCCCATTCAAAACTAAATGCTTCTCTGGATCCTAAGGTTCTGATAACCACATTCCAAACATACACCATCCTCTCACGTCTCATTCCACCTAGTCCATCAGACCATCAGTACACAGAGTGTTTAAGTTAGTCTTGTATAAATTGTGTAGAAATAATTTCTTAACTATTATAAACCTGACTGTCCCTCTTTCCTTGGAGTAAACACGAAGTGTCAAGTAATCCCCGCAATAAAAAGTTCTGATCTTCTGGCTAAAATATTCAAAGATCCATCAGATTGATATTTCATATTTCTATGGAATCTCACATTTTCTGGTTCATAAGTAAGATTTAAACTACCCATCCTTTATATATATATATATACACATATATATACACACACACACACACACACACACACACACACACACACATATATATATATATATATATATATATATATATATATATATATATATATATATATATACACACACACACACACACATATATCAATCACAATAAAGGGGAGACAATGCAATGAACTGTTATTTTAACAGCCAGGTAGGCGGGCGATATGGCCTAAAATCAATGTCATATGATTTCACCTCGATAACGATAAATGGATAATTACAGGTACGCACAGAAACAAAAGTTGTCCACTAGATGGGGCTGTCACATGTATTATGTTGAGTCACATTTTTATGTGACTTAAGCTTCTTAAAAGGGACATGAACGTTGCTAACCTACATATATTTTTTCATTTTTTTATTATCAGATTTATTGACACGGGAATAATTATCCCGGTAAGAGTCAGAAATTTCGATAATGATGACCTTTTGATTTATTTTCCAGTCCTACAGCCAGGCAACATTTGCAATTTTTAAGACCGAATTTAATTGGAAATGTCAGATCAGGCACTTCTAAGACACACCCAGTGCTGACGTGAGATCTTGTTCTGTCAGAAATAAAAGCGGTAAAAACATCTGTCACCTAGTGGTCGGAAATTGAATAGCACTGCAAAAAAAGAAATACAGTACCGTATTTTACGGACTATAAGTCGCACTTTTTTCATAGTCTGGCTGGCCATGCGACTTATATATCAAAGTGACTTATATACCAAAGTATATATACCGTGCTGCTGTGGGCTGGCTCCGGACCAGGAATGAGCTCCCCTGCCCCGCCATCACCTGCTGGAGACCGTTGCATGCTGCTGCGGGCCGGCTCCGGTCCAGGTTTTAGCTCCTCTGCCCCGCTGGGAGGGTTTCAAACACTGCTATCACCTGCTGCAGCATGTGGCGGGGTGATGCAGGTGCTCTCCCTGCCCACTGGGAAGGTCTGAAACACCGCCATCCTCTGCTGGAGACCGTGGCGCTGCTGCTGCGCCCTGATTGTTTATTCCGTTATTGTTATCTGCACTTGTCTTGCAATGTGAAATGCTTGGTCTAAGATTTTGTAAGAAAAATAATAAAATTCCCCCCCAAAATGTGACTAGTCCAGTGCGACTTATATATGTTTTTTTCTTCTTCATTATACATTTTATGGCTGGTGCGACTTATACTCCGGAGCAACTTATACTCCGGAAAATACGGTAAATGTTTGCACGTAAATTCTAAATTAAAACAAATCAATACACCGCTTTCAAATATTGATTGTGTATTTCACATCAAATATTTTAGTGTATCGATATTTTCTTACATACTATTAACCATGAAAAATACAGCATTACCTGTGACATACCCACACCGAATATAAAAAGAATGGAAAATAAAACAGAACTTTTAGATACATGTTGCCATTTTTCTCTATGAGCTTGTTTGAAATAAGGGTAGCTCGGGTTATGGGCTCCCCCAGAAGCCCTCCACCTATAGACTCAATGGGGCCCAACACCTGATTGAACAACTCATCCCTCTGCCTCCACGAAGGTGATCTGACGGGCACGTATCTGCTGTTGTGCGTCTGAAACTCTGTTGTTATGAAGGCATGCACCGGCGAGGTCACATTGAAGAGTCTATTACGTTACGCATCTGGTGGAAACCCCGGCAGAGAAATCTGAGGCCACTTTGGGAGGAGTTTCCAACTGATGGCTGGGTTGTGTCGAAATGGACACAACTTTGAATCTAGCAGTTTAGCTAACATGAACTCAAAGTTTCAAAGCAGCTGTTTGCAAATAACAGTCACTTATTTCTCCCCTTATGTTAAATATGTGAGAAAACGCTAGGGAACAAACTATGTCACGCAAAAAAACATAAGAACTGAACAGAAGAAAAAAGGCACTATAATAAACTAGGATTGGACGATATATCGGCATCAATATTGGCATCAAACGATGTTAGTCATTTTTTTAACATATCGTATCGGTCCAATAAATAAAACTGGGCCGATATTAACAACCAATACTTTTTCCATCTCGTCTCCATTTGTTTGCCTGTTTCAGAGGGTGAGGGGGGTGATGTGTCATTGTTTAGTCATGTGAACCGTGAAGGAAATCATCTCTGAACCGTAAATGTGTATGTTGTGTGTATATAATAACGTAAATTCAGCTTCAATAATTTTCAATCCATACAAAATCTGCTGATTTTAGAAGCAGTAATGTCAGTATATCGGTATCTGTAAATATCGGCCGTAACAGCAATCTTAATATCGGATATTGGTATCGGCCCAAAAATTTCATATTGGTGCATCACTATAATAAACATGAATCAACAGCAGTTTAGATGTAAGAAGCAGAAATGCAGTGCAAGTTGCTAAATCATTCCACAAAAAGTTACATTAAACTTCTGATATGTTGCTTTTCTCACCTGCTTAATCTACTGTTAAATATTTCATTGATGTTCCATCGGAGCACCTTTTCAAAATATAAAAACACTGACAATAAAAATAGATTACTTCAGCCCTGAGATACGCCTGCAGCTTCAACCTTCACCTATCAGAAGGTCCGACTGTAACTAGGCCAAAGATTATTGCTTCTCTGCAGCTTGATGTCCCTTCAAAGGCATTGAATTTTACTGTATCTGTTCTCTATAGAAAGGAAAAAAAAAGGATGTGCTTAACTCATCAAAGTCAGCGATAATACAGATGAGGATCAATATTTCACATCAAATGGAAGAAGATAAAAGTCTGAGCAGAATTTGAATAAACAAATCCACAAACACAAACCAGGTGCAACTAGTTCCCAGCAAACCAATCAGCTGCTGTTCTGGGATATCATTTAGATTTCGGACAAAGAAACGTTTGATTTGATTTCTGTTTCTCAAATGAGAAAATATATTTTAAAGTTGATCTGAGCAGCAGTGATTTCCACAGATTTAGAGACTCATCTGCAGATGACTAATAATAACAACAAAAACCATCTGCAGCAGCCCCCTTCAGCCACACACTCCATCGATAATAAACTCCTTCTCTGTCCGTCTGGCAGTTTGGAGATTTATTCCAATAGCACCTGTCACAAGAAGAAAAAAAAGGGGGAGTTGCATGTGATGAGGAAGGTTATGGCTGTGTTGACTTGTGCTGGGGGACAGAGGAAGAGTGAAGGCTACAGTCAGAGATGCCACAATGCACTGACCTCGTCTGACTCCTCTCCCACTGTGGATGGCCCCCTGTCGCCATCTTCTTCTGTCACCGCCGACGGCTGATCTTCCATCCGCCGCAGCAGAGAGTATCTGTATGTTGCCTGGCTGGAATGGAATAAAGTTACGCGACAGGTCAGGCTGATGAGTTTTTCCTGCACTAATGGTGTAAAATAATCACGTTACAGCTCATTAATCAAGCTTGCTTACTTGACTGGGAAGCAGTACTTTCGGATGATCAATGCAGCAAAGGCGGCTGCCGCCACGCAGACCAAGATCACCGATGCAATAATGCCAGGGTGAAGCTTTAAACTGGCCTAAAAAGACAAATGAATCCAATAAGATATAACAGTGGGGTAGTTAAAGAGCCCATAAACCTAACAGCTCAGTTCATGATGTGTGGCACAGATAAAAAGGAAATACACGCAGGAGATATGACAGCTGAACAGCGCCGGGTGATAAATCATATTGGTGTTCAACCCAAAAGCTTGGCAGCAGGGCTCGGGATGTCTGAGTAAGCAGAAAAAAATAGAAACACCTTCCTTTTTTGACAATCAGTAATCAGGCACATCATCTAGTGGTCCGTGCTGCCTTTAAAGTAAGAGCCGTGCACCAGATCGTTTGTAACGTAGCGTTTGTGAGCATGCAGCATAATTAGGATGCACATACAAGCGTGACCGAAAAAATACCACCCCCAGCAGGAACTGTTTATCATGTGTGGCGGCGTAGGACGCAAAAAACAATCAGAGACGAGCGCCGATCCCATCAATTAACTCTGACTGGTGTTTGTTTACTAAAACATGATTTGGTTTCCTTACACCGTGTCAAGAACACATAAGGGGTCACTTTTATCTTCATTTAATTCTAATAAACTGATTTCTATAATTATATAATGTAAAAGTGCATTTTTCTAACAGACTCGCCTGTAATTAAATGAAAATAATTGACACCAAGTCCAAAACGGATGAAACGGCACATTTTCTACTTCTTACTTGAAAACAAATAAGGTAACAACCTTCAGCTTGTTAAACATTAGCTGATGACAAACTCCTAATTAAATCCTATAAGGTAGCTAATGATTAGTTAATGATAAGCTAATTAAAAATGAAGAAGGAAACAAATTGGGAACAAGCTGATAATTGCTTAAAGCAAAGTGCTTCCTTAATAATTCCTAACAGAACGAAGAGGAGCACAAAACTGGTGATGACTCATTCGTTAATGTCTGTGTGCTCTCCGAGCATCAAGCTGCTCACATCCTGAAAACGAATGTCTTTGATTACGTCACAAATAACTTGGAGTCCACTAAAGCACTAAAGTGCTGCTTTCTAACAAGTTATTTCTGAGTCTCACATTCCTACTGAACTATTGCTGATCCACTGGTTAAAAAGCACATGTGGCTCTTTCTTCTAGTGTTGATTAAACTTCTGCAGCTTTTCCCTTCAGGGGTCTCCACAGCAAACTGTCTGGTTCCATGTTAACCCATCATCAACTCTTCCACCAATTAGCTTCATGTCCTCTTATGTCTCCAACCTAAGCATCCTTCTACTCACCAGCCCTCTTCTCTAAATGTCCTAACCACTTCATCCCGGCCTCGTGTACAAACTCTTATTTGTACCTCTACCAATAACAAACTATGTACAAAAACCTGCTTCAATCCCTCGCTCCCATGCACCGCTCCATCTGAGAGGGGCCAAATCAACACAAGTAATGGGTGGAGTAATGACTAATTACTTGGTAACAGTATTATTGAGTGCACAAAGACAGTACTAATGTTAAAAGTAATTAAAAGCGAGTGAGTCATTAGTAGTTAAGTGCTGTTCACCAGTTGTTAATCAGGAAAAGTTTGAGATTAATTCAAGATGCAATCGTTACCTAATGACTCATTAATAAAGGACCTCTGTGATTCTAGAGCTTGATTGTTTCAACAGACAATTCATTAGCAAATTATTATGAAACGGCTCAGATTTAAGCAGTAAATAAACACGTCTTTTTATTTCTTTAAATAATAAACTTTATTAGAATAATACATGAATGTCAGGTATAGGGATGGGTACCTTTGACATTTGAATTGATTCGGTACTAATTCCCGGTACCTAGGAATCGATACCGGTACTTAACAGTACCAATTTTCGATACTTTTGAGTGTTTATTATTTTAATTCTCTTTTATAATTAAATATATATTTTTCTCAATATATAACAATATTTGATAAATATCACGATAAATAACATTCAACTGTTTGTATTTTAACATCGTCCTTGTAGTTTTATAAGCTGATAATTAAACTGAAGCAAACATCTTTACTGTGAACTAAATTTACTGTGTATCGTCATTCCTTTTGCCGTCTTTTTTCATTTGATTTTTCCTACTGGGAAGTTAGAATTTCCGAGGAGAAAGCGAACGCACCATTAGCTGATAACAACGGTGGCAATGGAAGCTAACATATCAAGCTAACGTTATCTTAAACAGTTTATTTAACTGCTGGAGCAAATTAAAACGATGATGCCTCACACTTAGATCGTTGTCGCTGGTTTCATCTTCACCCAATCACCCCTCGCATTTAGTAAAGTGAAGCCAAACTTTAGAGCGTGTTCATGTACATCTAGTCGGAAATTCGGAGTTCCGAGGAGAAAGCCAATGCACCATTAGCGAAATGGAAGCTAACAAATCAAGCTAACATCTTAAACATTTTATTTACCTACCGGAGCAGATTAAGATGAGGATGTCTCACTTAGATCGTTGTCGCTGGTTTCATCATCACCCAGTTACCCATCACATTTAGTGAAGTGGACCCAAGCTTTAGCGTGCGTTCTTTCTACCATGCTGCTCTGTTTACAACACGCTCGCAGCGACCGACGACATAACGCTCTTGCGCATGCGCAGCTGTCTTGGCAAGTTCTCGTTATGAAGGACGAGTACCGAAACGAGGCACCGTTTGAAATGACGTGAATCGGTGCTCGGTCGGTACTATGGAATCCGGTCGGTACCTTAAAAAGTACCGAATTCGGTACCCATCCCTAGTCAGGTACAGAAAACACTTGTGCAACCTGCACAAGGAACATTACAAACAGGCCAGAGGGTCTTAAAGCATATTGCGATGTGTAAAAAGAGGACAAGAATAAAACTAAACTCATTATAACATGCTCAGATCCTTCAAAAGTTGAAATGTTCTTATAGCCATTGTGTTCTTCACATGTTGAATTGTTTTGTAATACAGTTTCCAGTCCACAAGAAATATTTTAAAGCAAGGATGTGAATTAGACCATTTGCATTTGTGGATATGGAATTTTCCAAGGATGACTAACTGTTGAATAATATACATTATATTTTTGGACAAACTCTGAAAATCACAATATAACATTACATCAAAATTTCTTATACTGATGTTGACTTTCAATTTTGTGACAATAAATTCTTCCAGTTCAGACCAAAATCTTTTGAATGATAAAATCAATGAAAGATTGTTTCTCTACTTGATCGACAGAATGTACACGTCCCTTCCATATTTATTTTGAATCTTAAGTATATCTTTAACAGGGTAAATTTGGTAAAAGATTTTAAATGAAATGTCTTTAATTTTATTATTAATACAATATTTATGTATTGTAGTATTAGCCTTCTTCCAATTTAGGTAACCCATGGTTGAATACCAAAAAACATTGCAGCAGGTGGGACCGAACAAGAAATTTGGTTTCTAACATTTTTATTAGTACATCTTTCCCTTGTAATCTCTACAGCTCCAACTAAAATTCTATTAGTTTCAGCATTATGTTCAAATGTCACGCATTTTAGGATTTGTAGTGACACTGCAAGGATAAACAAACATGTCAGACGTGCCTGCTTGCTGGCCTGAAGCGTCATCTCTACGTCAGAACCGCAGCAATTACCTGCGAGTTGTTTAACTCGTTAGTATTTGTGAGCATAAGTTTCAAGTAGGAACTGAATTTGGTAACCTGAATGACTCCTGAATAAGAAAAGGACGTCATCAGGCTAATTCAGGGTAGATGCGCCTCATTTTAGGACTTATATTGGCTTTTCATTGTATTTTGCTGCATAGTTAACATGGCAACTCAGGGCAGACGTTTAGCTGCAGAAACAAATTTAACAATTTCAACATGATTTGACTGAATTTACCAACGTTTGACATATTTACCTGTTGAGCGGACATCCTTGAAAACGTCAGAGCTTTGTTAACCATGTGTCATCATGAGGGTTAATTTTAATTCGAAAACTACCTAAAAACTACACAAAACAGTTAAAACAGCTAATAAAATTGACTCCTGCGTAGCTCCTGTTACTCCATAGTTGTTTACTTCCTGGTTCTTCGCACCTGCTTCCACGCCCCCTGACGATCCAGCTCCGTCACTTCCGGGTTGCCAAATTAGCTCAGCTGTGAGAGAAGAGTGACCAAAGAGGCAGATCCCTCGGTGGAATCCAGGCAGTCATGCATTATGATATAAAACATTGAGCTGGTGTTTAAAATGTATGACTTGTGGTTAATTTATGACATATCCTTATGTAACATTCAATGTCTTTTCAAGACTGCAGCCCCATTTCCCGGACCAGTTTTTTAAGCATGAGAGCATTAAAAATCTAAAACATTGACCTCCATGTCCAAGGTTATTATTATAATTTTTATAAAAGGTTATAAATGGAAACTGTGAATGTGAAAATAGGATATTGTTACCTGATTGTTGAACGTGTTGATATAACAAATCCACTCCTGCACACGTTAACGCATTTCGCTCCAGGATATTGAATGAGATGTAGTTTAATTAAGATTAAATGAACACACACACAAAAAAAAACTGTTGTTTTTCCAATTTTTGTTTCATTTTCTCCAGTAATTGTAACAGCCACAACATTATGAATCAATATCCCATTGCGTCAGGTGTGATGAGTGTTGTGGCAAAACTGGTTCAAAGACCTGCCATCCTCATCAGCAGCCCACCTGCTGCTACTCTGTTACAGTTACATGCCACGAAAAAAGCCCGGAGCATTTCAAATACATTCAAATGAATTAAAATCCATCATCCTTTCACCTTCTGGGCATCTCTGTCCAATTTAAAATGAACAAAATAAATAAATAAATAAATAAGCGGAACCACAGCCATTTTCTCAAAACAAATTTATTTCAAGTAATACATAGAGGTACATGTACTTCAACTGGTTTTTACAACTTCTTGAAGAATATATTCTGGTACAACTAAAAGATCTGTGACTTAATGTGGTTTTAAAAAGAAGCTCCAGCATCGTGTTTATAGAAGGCCCCCATTTCCCTGCCAAGACTTCCTAAAAAGACCCATTTTGTCATTGGATGTGCAAGTGAATGATCACATACTTGGGAGGGGGAAGAGGATGGATTTGATTTAGCGGGTTTCTTAATACCATACTCACTAGCATGACTGACGACACACGGAAACACAAAGCTGCCGATAGTTTTCAGGAACAAAAGTTGAACCAAAGAAAGGGTTTTTCATGAATGGGAAATCCGCTTCCAATAGATCAATGTGGCCTAAAAGAAAGGAGTTCTAAAAGAGCTTCATTTACTGTTAATGTGATTTATTAATTCTGATTCAAATGGGCTTTGAGCTAAGCTAGTTCATAGTACTTTCCTGTCTCAGGATCAAAATAGCAGTTGAGGCAAGGATCATAAAGCAGCTTCAAATATTCATCTTCATTCTCCTCTTCTTTCACCAGCCCATCCTCTCCTGTATCAAAGCCAAAAAATCACTCTGAAACCTTCATGCTCAAAATATACAGATGGAACAAGATTGCAAAGATAAAAAAGTGATTCTTTTTCTTCTCAATATAGAGTAAGTTTTCTATGCCAGATATGAATAAGGGCCTACTCTGTCAGCTTTCAATAGAATAGAATTAGAAGCATGGTGGTTAGGTGACCTTCAAGACCCAGGTGGATTTAAAAGTTTTCTGCCGCTGCCATTTTTTCCCTAATCAATCAAGCCCTAAGACACTCAGAAGCAGTACCAAATTATGAAGCTGTAAAGAGATTCCCTGTAATCCCCGCTACTTTAAAGCACGGGAATTGAGCTGTTAAACTGACAGGCAGTTAAATGCTAAAAAAGGTTATGGAACGCGTCGAGACGAGCATTTTTATCTCACCTGAACTTGGGCAACAATAATGAAAACTAATTATATGACACATGGTGTAAGAGGTTTAAAAACGATGTAGTAAACTGGAAAAGGTTTCATCAGTTAACCTTGTGGAGGTGTCTAGAGGGGGGGTGCAGACCTGTCTCTCCTGACCTATGGAGTTATGTGGAGGACAAAAAGCAGCACTCTCATGAGGGTTCTTCAGCCCTAATTAGATCCATTTTCGCTTGCTGTGACACCACGCAGTGTGCATCCTTGGTGGCAATGTAGCATCTCTAAAAGCTCTGTCATCAATGAGTGTTTCCATTAGCTTTTGTGTAACTTAGCGTTAAAGCACCGAGACTGTTTGCTGTCTTCCCAAGGACGTCAAAGGCAGTCTTAGGGGGTAAAAGGACTAAAATGAAGGTTACCATACCTCTGACTAGACGTTCCAAATTGTTCTGTGTGTAGCCTGACCTTCTCTGCTGGCTGGGAGGCATAATAGGAGGGCTGAGCACGTCCATCCACTCTCTAGGGAAAAGACCATAAAGCCAGACAGTCATGACAACACATACCATTACACTCACCATCTTACCCTATGACATTTTAACAATGGAGTCCCATCATCATGCACTCTCAGAAGCCCATCTATGATTCCATTGTCCTTGAGCCACTTCTCCTGCAGTCTCACAGATTTACCTGAAGGATCACTTATTAAATTCTGACTCCAGCTGCGACTTCCAAGTGTCCACATTGTGGCTCAGAGTAGGGGTCTTAACCTCGCCTGTTTCTGCGGGAGCATGACTTCATTTCTCTCCAAACGAGTGTATCCCGTAAATGAAAAACACTGCTCCTTTAGCATGGGGTAAATGATTGCAGAGCCAGAGGGAGAATATCTCAAGATGAATTATTACTCGGAAGCAGTGAAAGATTCATTTGTTAAACGGCATTCATAATCATTTTTGGCTATACATCAGTTGTGCAATCACCCATTAACATCTCACGCCTCTGGATAAGAGCAAACCAGAGCGTATTAAATGCAGAATTACAGTATAATCTTCAGTATGATATTCGTCAGACGGCAGGAGACTCAAATGTTTGCCTCTGGTTGGTTTGTCTCACCATCTAGAAGTGCAATGTTTGCTAATGTGGCTCTTTCTGAAAACAGCATTATCACTTAGCAGGAAAAGTGTTCACATTCTGTTTGCTGCTGTTCTCCACAGCATCCAAGCCAAAACCCGGTATTTCTGATACCATTTAACCCTTTCATACATGAAATAAAATATCAACTATTGGCTGGTGTTGCTATAACACATATTATTGTCTTTTACAAATTATTCTTTGAATTATATAACAGTTCAAAAAGCAAAAGAGAAAAATTGGCCCTTTCCAACTGCAGAACTTTGAAGTCAGGTTTAGGTGAAAATACAGCCGATTTCTGAGGAAAATACTGATCCCTCTATAGAAGCTGAGGTCTCTGAGGTTAGAAAAAAATGTGTCTATTCTTAAATGTGCAGCTCATTTGTTTAATCAGTACATTTGCAGTGGTCTTTGGTAGGAATGAATGCCTTGTAAGTCGTACTCAGAGCAAAAAAAGCTCAGAAACGCTTGGATCAGCAGGGACAAGTCTGCTGTAGAGAGCAGCACAACACTACTGGTCCTATTTCCTGATATTTGGACATCTTGCCTTGGATTGGATAACAACAATGGGACTGTGCCACTGACTTGCATTGTTTACGTTTTATCTCCACAAATGCCACAAGCCTAGAGGAGTTTTTCTATGTGGTGGAGGTGCAAATGCACAAGCCTCGAAGGGAAATGAGGGTGTGGCAGCGTTCCAGAAAGGCAATGAACGGCCTTACTCTTTAGATGCAGGTGGATGAGGTTAGCATGGAAGCTCTGGGTCATCCGGCGTGGATCTGAGCCACGGCGACATATAGCTATAACCGTCCGGCATGACTAGATGAGCCACGTTGTTTAGGAAGCTAAGAAGTGAGGTGGGCGCGGAAGCCCCGGGCGCTTGGTGTGAGCTATTGAGCTGATGCACTTGTTGAGGTGTTACTGAATGAAGTGGGCGTAGGAGACCTGAGTCGCCCGGCAAGGATCTGGGAGCCGGATAGGAACGGTGCGAGCTGTGATCGCCCAGCGTGGATTAAAAACTGCCACCGCAGTCAGGAAGCTACTGAGCGAAGTGAGCACGGAAGCTCCTGGAGTTCTGCGTGACCATGGACAGAGAGCGATGACTGAGGCATGAGTGTTGAGGGGGACTTCCAGATATAGACTGAGCCTGATTAGTGCATAAAACTCCTTAAAAAGTTCCATAGAATTCACATTTTCAGTGATTATTAGCATTCATGCTAGTTTATTTAGACATCTCTACACATAAACATGTTAAAAACATAAACAACCAAAGCCCATCATTATATTAAGCTTACAAACCTGATGGTTAAATAAAAAAAAACAACCCCCATCTGATTCCAAGTGTTTAAAAATGATTATTTTCCCTTCATTTCTTTGGTTTTGGACCCTTTATGAGAGACAGCACATTATCTCCACCAAGGCTTTGATTTTTCTTGCCAACAAAAGCATTTACCTCTCCCAAAACCCCTCTGACTGTTTGATAGGCAGGAACATTGTACAAAAGTTAATGGAAGCAATTTTCAAGGACAAGGGCCCTTGCTACCAAGGTGTAAATTGGACTTCAAAATGTTAAGTGGGACTTGGCAAGAGTGATTAAATTCTTGGATTTTTTAATTTATTACAATCCAAATACAGCCCTGGTATAAAGAGAGTAATTCAGCTTCATTTACCGCATGCAGGTACCCTGCCTTTGAAAGGCTACTGAAAGCTACATTAGTTATTAAAGCTACATCGAAAATACTCTTTCCAAATCTGCTCAGGAAACAAAACCCTACCTTCAACACTGTTTGTCCTACACCTCGACAAGTCCACTAAAACTCCCAAAAGCATGTTGTGTAAGACTTCTTTCTGCCATACGGCCAGTCTCTCTGACAGCCTTTGTGTGCGCACCAAAGTCAGACACAATTACTCAGCTCATGTCCAAACACTAGACTCTAAACTCAGCTGCTATAGAAAGTACATCGCATGTTAAAATGTTTAAAAATCCATGGCAACGTCAGGCACAGAAACAGGAGCATTTTTAGTTGTCAAGGAAGCGGCAGCTCTCGACGAGCGAGAAAGCTTTGCAGCGGTGCCAGGATGCTCCAAAACACACCGGGATGATGTTCACCGCAAGGGCTTCTGAGGATGCGAAGCCTAAAAGGAAAACAAACAAAAAAACAAAACAAAACAAAAAAAAACAACAAATCCTGTGCAGCTGCTGTTTAATATGTAAATCAAGCCATGCCTCTAAGTCTAATTTCAGTATTACATCTGTGGATGCTGTAGAGCTGCTTGTTTGAGCTGGTAGTCAATAGTAATATTCATTTCGGCGGACATTCAATCAACTGGCAGCACTTCGCTGCCAGGGCAACCACACAGCCATGTCAGCCCTCCTTAGCAGAAGGGAGAGGTGCATCCTCCAGACTGTTGCTCTGGGTTTTCCACACCAGTTTTAACCGATAACACAATGTTTAAACGCATGATAGTCAACACGTTCTCAAAGGGGTACCTTGCTTTTCATCAATAAATCACAAGTGTTCGAAAGGAGTGGGGTGGGGGTGCATAATTAGAGTGGCGGATCTGTGATGCAATCTCTTTGTCTTCCTTTGTAACACGCCACATGGATGTGTATACGTCTCGTAAAGACATGGACAAGCACAGAGACGCGGCTGTGCATTAGCAGGCTGCGGGGTGATATAATGTCTCCAGAAGCCTCCAAGGACAGCAGAATCCATTCATACGCTGCCACAGCAGGCGATGACACGGGTAAACAGTACACAACGCTGCAGCCCAGATAGGGGCCAGTCGGCCAGGCTCTACAGCGTGACATTTTGCAGCACTTATGGGATAATGTTTCTATTTATTATTCTCCGTTATAAACATTTCTATTAATGGGAGTGATTAAGGTATTATAGCAGCTTTTGAATCATTCTTTCAAAATCTGTTAGGACCTCTGAGTTATCCTAAGCACAAACAACAATAGAACAGACTTTCATGAAGGTCACGCAGCGTGTCGTTTTATTTACTCTTTTTTTATTCTACAAATCTCAAACACAAATACTATGACTGCTAGAAAAACCTTGGATTTTAAAACCACACCTTGTCATGAATATCTAGTTCATTTTAGTGGATTTTTGAGGCTGTGAGGTCTGTTCTCGTTAACTCTACTAGCTTGAAGTTGATATCAGCCGTAACTCTGATATATTTGGTGGAAACTGTGCGTGTAACAGTTTCATTTATTCCTTTTGAGGTCAGACATTTAGTTTACTTCAACGTGGAGTAAGAAGACAAGGCTTACATCTGCTACGCAGTAAAAACAAGCAGAAGAAATAAAACAAAAAATGTTTCTAGTTTAATTTTAAAGAACCTAAAATCTGATTTCTACAATATGGTTTGCAGATAATTTGTTTTTAGAGATAAAGATTAACAATCAGAGTCAATGTAAAAACGACAACAGCAGTTTAGAGAGAAGAAAAGAGCACCTGTGCTCATCTGAGAGTTAGATAAACCCCAGTCTACGCTTCCATCTGACAGCTGACATTTAGCATAAATACTGCAGTCCCTGTAACCATCTAATTATGATCTTTAAAGGTTTGTTTTTTCAGATTTCTGTATATTTTTGGGCATGAATTCAAACACATGCAGCCTTTTTTTTTTGGTTGAGGTAAAACACGATAAACATCAGCAGTGATTGCAATTTTCCCAACTATTATCTTCCCCTCGCCGAGGCTATTAATACAGAAGTAAGGCAGCATTTCAGCTTAAAGAGATCTAGTGCCTTTACAGTCACACTTTTACAAAACAGAACAAAAAGTCAACTCAGCCTTCGGCTTGGAGTGTAGTCTAGAATTGTGTAAACTCACTAATTCTGAATACATCAGAATATTTTTTTTTTACCTCGGGTTTGATTGCAGCAAAGTGTTCATTTCCTTCTGATAGTGATGCCCCTGATTCTCAGGCTAGATGGAGAAAAAACAGAAGTTTTAGAATGTCACCAATAGTCGACATCAGCACATTCCAAGACACTATAATAATTATTTATTCATATTTGAAGTGTTGAAAAAAAAACTGCTAAGAATGTGATTGAGACACAAAGAGAAAAAGAAGTGCACTCACTGCGTGTCAAGACTGGAATTATTTTTTATGCTAAGAATGAGTAATGAAGGTCATTGCTTGTCAAATGCTGATGCCTCCAAACATAAAGTACCAATTTTTGACAGATAATTGTCACAAGGCATTTAGGCAGTCATGCGCACAGGGTGAATTTTGTCAATTCAGAGGCAATTTCAGCAAGCTGGGAGTGGAAAAGGTGGCTGCATGATAGAGTGGGGGGTGGTAAGGATGGTCGCCTCACGGAAAAAAGAGATCTTGCGTTTTAATCTGGGTTTGTGCAGGTTTTTATCCATGGAGTTTGCATGTTGTCCCTGTGCCTGCGTGGCTTTAATTCAAGTACATGCAACAGAAAGGGGTGATTGTGGCTGGACCTTGCACATTCATGTATCCTGCACTTCATGGGTGTTTCATAGATGGATGGTCCTGAATCGCGATGCCTTTTTGTACCAGTCATTCAGGTTCTGGTCAGTCACAGGTTCATTTGTTATTCAAATTCAAATCAATTCAAAGATACTTTATTAATCCCAGAGGGAATGTGTAAATGTTTCTCTGCCCTTCTAATAGACCTAAAGGTGTAACATATAAGGATTAAGTAAGAATGACATCCTGTGGTCAAATCTGGTTACTGCAGTCCATTTTTCTAAACAAAATGTCACTCTCTCACTGCCGTTCCGTGAGCTTCATGGCTGTCAACAGCTACGGATCAGCACCAGAAGATGCTAGATGCAAGCAAAGACGAGTCATACACAGTAAACTGATAAGTAGATAAATACATTGTCATATCTGGTGTTAGCACTCATGGGTATTTTACATAGGGAGCACTTGTTACACTTATATGTCTCCAGCATTACCCTGGATGCACACTGGAAGCATCATCGCTGCACTTCTGGAATGATACTGGGAGTAAATAAGATGTTGGGTCACACGTAAGCTTCACATATGAAATAGCATTAATGCAATACATTATTTAGAAAATTACCAGGGATTTTACACCAAAACTGTGTGTGATTTCTTATCTGGCCTTGGATTAACTATGGAAATTGACGCATCCTAGAAGCGGCTCGCAAAAAAAATAGAACCCGACCCCATTTTTTGCGGCGTGACGTGCCGCTTCTGGGACGCCATCTGAACATTTCTACGCCTCGGCTGGTTTGTAATAATCTGAAATGATTTTCTCCAAATAGCATGCCGAACTTTAGCTTACCTGTCGAGCAGAAAACCAGCTACAGAGGTGTCTGAGAGGAGCCTAACCTTTGCTTTCAGCGCAAGCCATCGTTAAAAAGAGTCTCCTAAAAAACTCTGGTCTTTTTTCTTACTTATTTCTTACTTCTTCTCATCAGTTACATCAGAGACACATATTTTCTTGTGACTCTGAGACATTTCCAAGAGAAACTGGTGAGAACAGCGAGTAATGAAGGCTATGGCTCGACACATAAACAAAATGTCCATGCCCAGGAAGTGAAAACTACCCAGCAATAAGCATGAACGTCAAAGACCTTGCGTGAATGGTTCACCAGGATGATTGACAGTTATGCGGACCAGTGGTTCAGATGATCCACCCAGAAGAAGAAAATCCTCCACATTGTCTTTAAGATTGTTGGAACAAGATAATCAGCTAAAAACTTGCCATAATTAGCTTGCCATGCAAGCTAGGCCTCAGCAAAATATCTCTTCAATCACTGGAATGGTTTTAATCAAACTATAAGAAAGTAATTGTTGGGTCCACAACAACTAACTGACCTTAGCAAACACAAAAATGGCTATAACTTGATCAATTTTCTGAATTTTGAGCTGATGTTTGGTATGTTAGCAGTTGTGAGTGATTCACAACAAACAGAGCTAACAGATCTAACAAGATCTTGAATATTCTATAAGATTGCTCCTGTTTGTTTTACGATTTGACCAAAACAGCTTTAACCCTCTCAGGCTCAAAATAAGTTTTGATAAAAGGACGAACAACTAAGTCCTTCAGGGGTACTTCGGAGTTAAAAAATGCTCATGAAATACGTATGTGGAGTAACCAGGTAGGTAGGTTTTAACTGTTGCTAATCTGCAACGCCTGCCTCCAGAGGATTAATGCCTCCATTTCTCAACAAATGACAGCTTTAGTTTAAAGCTTTGGAATGAAAGATGGTGGATATTCTAGGCTTTTTCTTTTTTGAGGAACAAAAAGTGAAGAGTGAATGTAGAATTGGATCTGTTATTCTACTCAAGAATGTTTTTCACCAAGCAAGATTTTGTGAGGAGTTTTTTTAGACTACACTAAGTAATGGTAGGGTTGTCTTTACTGCTAAAAAGATTCTTGGCCACTACAGCAGCTCTCAAATGATGTCATGGTGTTTGAATGTCACTTTACTCACTGGTGAATGTTTGTTGCTGTTTATTTATTTTCACTAAGCCATTCTGACCATTCACAATGTTTCTGCAGTCTCTCTACGGCCCATTTCACTGAGTGAGAACTTGGTTGGCTAAATTAAGTACTTAAAGGAACATATTCTCAAACCAAAACTGTCTAATTTGCAAACGTAAAAAACTGATTAAATAAATAAAGAAGCTGCACATCTCTGTGTATGAAACACACCGACTCAATCAATTCAATTTGTATATCTGCTTAGCAAAAATTCAGCTGTAACTTCCCTAGTATTTATTATTTAAGCTCACACAGTCTTGCACTGTTGCTCAAATAACATAGTCTAAAACTAGGAACTTCAGAGCTCCGTGAACACTTGCTTTAAAGTTATATAGCAGGCCTCTCTGGTCCCTGACCTTTCTGCATGATCAGCAACACTGTGAAAATCAAACTTTGGCTGACAGGAACTCACCCATGTTTTACATAGAGGCTTCAAATAGCTGCCCTCTGGCATTGGCTCATTCTGTCCTGCAGCGAGGACAAAACAGAGAAGGCAGCTTAGAGTTCAACCAGTAAAAAGTACCTTGATGTTATTCTTCTTTGTAACACGGATAGCATCTTTATGAACAACTTTTGTTTAAATCTTATTTTAATGTATCCAAGATCCAAGACCAAAGTGAATGTAGTCTTGCCAGAAAATTAAACCATGCCAGTATGCCACTTATCATCAATAAAGTCATTTCTGTCTTTCTGGAACATGTCCCTCAGGTTTACATTATATGCAACAACAGGGAGTGTCGAGTGAAGAGACTGTCCAGAACATCAGCTCGGCAGCCTAATATAACACAGAGTCACACTCACAGTACCTAGCGAAGGACAGCGGGAAGGAAAATCAAAGCGATGTGCACAAAACTTGTTCTTCCCTTTTACAAAAGCACAACTTACTTATACGCCACGCCCCACGGTCAGGTCAGAGCTAAGAAAATTATACTAAATGTGATAGTTGGAACATGCTAACAAGACAGGCAATAAAAATTTAACTTGTTATTATTAATTTTGGCAAACCTCTAAAAAAGGAAAGGAAAATCAATACAAAACAGGAGCAGGTATCAAGATGCAGAGACAGGAAAATGGGGAGTTATGAAAGGTCAACAAAGTAGGAGGAAGGAGCTCTTCAAATAAAAATAAAATAATAATCTGCTTCATCATTTAGAACCAGAACCACTGCAGAGGTGAGATAGATAGATAGATAGATAGATAGATAGATAGATAGATAGATAGATAGATAGATAGATAGATAGATAGATAGATAGATAGATAGATAGATAGATAGATAGATAGATAGATAGATAGATAGATAGATAGATAGATAGATAGATAGATAGATAGATAGATAGATAGATAGATGATAGATAGATAGATAGATAGATAGATAGATAGATAGATAGATAGATAGATAGATAGATAGAAGATAGATAGATAGATAGATAGATAGATAGATAGATAGATAGATAGATAGATAGATGATAGATAGATAGATAGATAGATAGATAGATAGATAGATAGATAGATAGATAGATAGATAGATAGATAGATAGATAGATAGATAGATAGATAGATAGATAGATAGATAGATAGATAGATAGATAGAAAGCTAAAGACCACATTATGGCCTCAGGAGTCTGTTTTCTGTGCTGTAACTGTTAGGAACTATTGTATTACGTGACTTTGATGAAGAAGCAGACATACTGGGGCTTTGCTTGATTTAATTTCAGCTACTTGTGTGACCCACTGCCTCCTTTATGTAATTCCACAGACAGAAACTAAAATTGTCCCCTGAGTTCTGTAGGTAATACGGACTGATGATGATGAGTTACCTCCAGAGTACTACAGAAAATACAGAAAGTCGGGCATTTGAAAAGCCTCTCTGCCTTCCCACTGAAACTTATAAAACCCAGTACCAGATGTGGTCATTGAAACTTGCATGAACTAGAATTTCAAAGAAAGCACTTGTGCTTAAAAGAATCAGAAGTGCATCTGCTGCTAAAAGAAGTGCATCATTTATTTTGAACAAACACCCATTCCTGGCCTGACAGCAAAGTGTGGTTTGGAAGTTCGATATAGCAACTGCAGCTGCTTGTTTCTTGGCAAACACTGATGGCTTGGCAGACTCACAACTCACTGTATAGCTTCTCAGCAAAACGTATACGTGAGGATCGGTTTTTAGAGTTGACATCTCGACTCCTTGTATCATTTCGTTCGTTTGGATGCAAAGATCTGGATGTTGTTTGTTGTTGTTTATTCTCCTTCGTTTTCACTTTCAGTTTTCACCCAACAGCTATCGGAAAATCTTAAAAGCTTATTTGCCTTTAATTGGCATAGCCTTAAACCTTTTCATAGTTTCTTTTACACTAATAAGTATTTAAAAATCATTTGAAATTCTTACTTTTATCATCATGCAGCAGAAGCCAACTGGTAAACATGTCCAACTAAATAGTGCCGCATAATCACCCTCTGTCTTTTTTATCAAGGCTTTTCACAGAAGATGGACGGTGATTCAGCTCTCAAGTGTCTCTTCTTACTTCTTCTGTGCACTCATTTCCTCATCTACTGTACATCTGGCCCAGGAAATTGACTGGCTTTGAAGTGAAGCTGGACTTACCGGTAAGTGAATAAACACATAGGGATAAATCTAGCTTAGCTGTGAAAGGAAATAAATGAGATGTTCCGATTTAAGCATAAAGCTGATGCACTTTACTTCTCCGACTATCTACGACGTGTTTACTCGTGTTGATAAAGCTGAGTTACAGCAAGATAGAGACAGTATACGCTCACTATCAATTCCAGGGTGCAACATATTTAGTAAAATTTAGAAAAAAGCCTTTAGAGATTTAATTTGGGCTGTTTTGTACAGCTGGTGATGAAGTGGCTGGTAATGTCGACTCACAGCAAGACAGCCTTCTCAGCCTGCACATTCACGGGCTTTCTCATGGGGCCACGGTAAAAGATAAGCAATCCAAAAACAAGCATGTTCGGTTAATTAGTGATTCGAAATTGGCTCAGAGTGCTTGTCTATTGGTTGTGCTGGCCCTGAGATGGACTGGCAACCTCTGTCCCAAATTAGGCTGGGAACAACTCCAGGACGCTGCAAGCCCCAAATGATAAAGTGTGTGGATAGGTTAGATCTTTCGAAACGTCAAACAATTTTTTATCAGCTGTTCCTGATGATGAGATGAAGGTTTGGGGCTGTGGAGAAAAAAGTACGACGCTTCGCTTAACTTTCCTCTTTCATAAGAACATTTCAAAACTTTCTAGAAAATATGCTGGCATGAATGTGCAAAATGCAACCCACGTCATCTATCATGTCATCTAGTTTTTGTTGTTGGTTTGTCAGGGAGACGTTTTGAGAAGGAACACTGAAGAGCTCTTTTGTGAACGAAGATCATCCGGACACTTGCTGGTGAGTGCGGTGCTTTTATCATTGTACATGTTGAGATTTTTTTTGCCAACAATGACATGAGTGGAATAGCTTTTGTTGATGAGGTGGTGAAATACAGATCTCTACCAACACTTTTCTGCCAGAAAACCCCAAAAACCTCACAACTGAAATAATTGCAATTGTCCAGAACTGAGCTGGGCACCGTGTCAAGAAAGAAAACATTACAGTTTTAGACCTAATACAAAGGGAACTGATTGTATGTACTATTTTTCTGTCTGACTCTGACTTCCATCTGTTGGTCTAATTGTTTAGAAAAACTCCGAATTGTGACACGACAGCTCTCATTTCAGTCATAGGTATTTTCTGTGCCTACACAGAGAACGCTCATAAAGCCAGGGACCACATGCAAACGTGAAATCTAATTTCACACAACCGCTCCATCTACAAGTAGACTGTGTTCTGCGTTCAGCCAAGTTATGCAAGCCCAGCACACAATCACCTGGGGGTGAAATTGTGTCGGGGCTGTTACAGCAGCTGCTGAAGCAGGAAAAATGGCAAGAATAGCACGAATGACAGTGGTGGGGACGACTGAAATCGCACCATCCAGGGACAAGAAATGACCTGTCATTTTCAACCAGTCCCAGCCTCTGACAGGGACTCCTGTGTCATTTAGGCTCTATAATTATCTTTTTTTAAAACTCTAAAAATAAATATTTCACACCATTCTTATTTGATCATCAATTTCTTGAATCACTTTCAGATTCGTAGCTTGTCTTGTTAAAATGTTACACACCTTGTGTTTATATTTGAATTGTTTTCATTATATACTGTTGGTGGTGCTGTTGCCATACTGTGCATTTTTAGTTTTAAGCACTGCAACTGACTTAAGATCACTTTTATAAATCTATTATTGAAATATTTAGCTACTAAAGGTTCCAGAAACAATTTTCTTACTTCTTCAATTTTTTTTTCCAAGGGGGGTGACCAAAACTGTGTCCTCAAAAGGAACCACAAGAAGACAATCCCTGTGGTAACACCAATATTTATGAGCAACTGGAATCTCAGTACTTTAAAGAATACCTGCATGCACAGAGCTGGTAACAGCCCTCCAGCTGAAGCATTTGTGATAAATGTATTCACTGGGGGATTCTGCTGTGAACCCAGCAGTGTTCTGTCTTTGTAAGTGAATTGTGCATATGCTAATGCACCATAATATAATGACCTTCAATAGCCAAGAGCAAACTGCACCATCTTTGAATTCTATAAAGACTTCTAGCAGGATCATTTCAAATGACCTAAATAATTTTCAGTCACCGAGGGTGCTACAGATATTAAGCCAGTGTACTCTTAAAAGCTAAAAGCTAAAAAAAATAAAAAATAAGCCAATAAATGCGGTACGCTCTTTACAGTCTTTTGTAATGCAGAAAACTGTCTACAGAAGACAGAGCATTAGCACTTCAGGGTGGCATAAGCTAGGGCTTGAAATGGAAATTAGCAAGAATGAGGGCCAACCAGGGTCAATGAAAATATTTCAGAGGAAAGACAGAGAAGGACAACGTGCTAATGATTAGAACAGGACGCACCACATCTGGCGCTTGTTAGTGAGAATCTAACAATAACTGATGAGAAGTATCAGAGCATGACAGTACAGACCACGGAGATGTGGGTCCAGGTTGAGGCGTCGTCACAGCTCAGGCTGATGCTGACGTCGCAGCGGTGGATTTGAGACGTGCTGAGGCTCGGAGCTCCACATTCATCTTCCTCTTGCTCTCGTTTCAGGCTTTCCAGCATTCGCTGCTCCTCGTCATCCTCTTCCTGCATACTGCCACGCGGTCGTGAGATGTAATGACTTGAATCAACGGCCTTCAGCTTCTCATCTTCTTCTTCCTTCAAATTTATTACCCATAAAAAACAATCAGCATTCATCTGGAAGCTGTCCAAAACATAACAAAAACGCACACTTTAAGTTTTCAGCCAGCAACACGGTAAATGGCTGAAGCTCAGAGATACCACACAAACATTAAGGAGGTGCTGGACATGCACTACTGTTCTGACCCCCTTTTAACATTGGATCTATTGATTTAGAAGACTATGCTAACTTGATTTTGTCAGACAAAGTGTAAGGAAGCCTGATGTTGCCCTGGTGGTAAATCAATGGTTAGTCAATACACTGGAGCTGTGGGAGGGGAAACAAACTCCTTGTCATATTTCTCTGACAACATTTCACTCAAAGTCGTCACTGCATGCAGACTGCTGGAGTTGGCACAAATCAGTGGCGAGGAGCTGCGCTGATGAACGATGCTGCGATATCACTCAGCAGCGAGTTTTTACAAATGCAGAAAGCAACAGCTATGTGACAGAACTTGCTTCAGGCCTTGTGATCACTACAGCTGACTCTTCTCTGATCCTGGATCTGTTCTGCGGAACCAAGGGACTTACCTCAATTTTCTACAGAGTAAGTTTGATCCTGGAAACATTTGTACCAACCTCTTTGGCTGTGCAAACCTGTTGTGATCACGTTATTGCACAGAAAGGCAGGCAGCAACACTTAACGGCATAAAGGTTGAGTTCACTGAAAACCATTTCTCAATGATAATTATGCCCAAGCAGCGAAAGCGCTGCGAAGGCCTATTGTATCTGCTCTGTTTATTTTTCTTCCGCCAAGTAAATTGGCTTTTTGGAGGCCTTAGCATACCCCAAAACTCAGGAATTTTTGCACACATGTCAGGTGTGGTGTAAAATTTTGTATTTTAAAGGTCCCAAAAAATCGCAATAAAACTAGCTCCACTGCGCCCCCTAGAATGTGAATAATGCCCCCTTCATAAAGCTTAGTTTACCGTACAGTTATGACATTTTGTGCACTTGTAGTACACAACAGTCCGTGCAGAAAAGCCTCTTGCAACCATGTTCAACATCAAACAGGAAGTCGGCCATTTTGGTTTGAAGTGGTGACTTTGACCCCATTTTGGACGTTTCTAGGGTCCGCTTCTGATTGATTTACTCAATCATTTTTCGCACGATCGTCTCGAAAGTTGTGGGAAATTGCTCAGAATGGATGGGCAATCACATAGAAAAAACTAAAACGGACTTTTCGTATATGCTGAGGGGGCGTGGCCAGGCCTCGAATTTCGACTACTCGCCAGAAAAATATAAATGGCTATAACTTCATACTCGAATAGAATAGAGTTATAAAAATTTCTGTGGTCATTTGACATCCAGCCACAAACTAAATTGAATGGTCGGATGATGACATCACACAAGCCCCACCCCCTCAGGACCAAAAAGGTCAAGTTTTACTGTGACAGGTCCCAAATCGCCCCATTTCACTTAATCATCACAAATTTGTAGCTGGTAACTCAAGAAAAGTGGGTGTTTTTTGGCGTCACTTTATGGGAGTTTTCAAAAGAAGGTGGGGCTGTCGCGGCACAGCAAAGCCAGACGTACCGCCGTGGCCATACGTTTGCCTCCCATTTTGTCAAATCTAAAAATATTGCCACAAAACTTCTGGTGAGTGATCCTAGTCCAGCCCCCCAAACAATCTGACGTGAAAATCTGGTGGGCGTGGCCTATTTTCTTAAATAGCACCCCCTAGGACCATTAAAATTGTCAGATCCAAGCCATGCTTTGACTGAGGATTACGAAATTTGGTACACTAATGTAGTGTCTCAGGACCTACAAAAAAGTATCTTGGAGCCAAGCGCAAAGTCGCACAGGAGGTCGGCCATTTTGGTCCAAGTACTCGATTTAGTGATTTTCGCACATGTAATTTGGAGAGTGATGCCCAATCGCCCTTTTCACCAATTGCCTTCAAACTTCTGCTATATACTCTTAAGACATATGGTAAAAAATTAAATCATTGGATTTTTCTAACGTTGAAAGGTGTGGGCGTGACCAAGCCTCAAACTATGACTCTTCACCATAACATTACTTGACGTAATAACTCTCAGGCACATAATCAGATCCATATCAAACTTTGTCTGTGTGATCACTGACCACATCTCAAGACAATGACAATGTGGACAGCTGACATCACCTCAGCCCTGCCCCCTGACAACAGGAGGTAGATTGTTTTATGGTGAAATGCCCATATTTATCCCCTTTAATTTAGTCAACATGACACTAAGGTCATGCACTGTCTTCATGATGCTGTAATGACAATTCAGTTCTGAGAGGCTTTCCAGAAAGGGAGGGGCTTTGATGCCATGGCAAATTCTGGCGTGACGCTATGACCTTACGTTTGACTGTAACTTCCGCAAACAGCCTCCGATCTGCATGAGACTTAACATGGCAATCAACAATCATACCCTTTAGCCAATGAAGCACAAACGGTTGGCAAATTTTGTATAATATCACCACAGTGCCCCCTACATACCTTTAAAACTGAAATAACTCGTACAGACGAGGTCACAACGGTACCAAACTTGCTATATGTCATCACACAAAGGCACCCAATGCAATCCTGTGGTCATTGGTTGATATCGCTTTACCTCCACCCCCTGACAGATATTAGGACCTGAATAACACATGCAGGATGCAATTCACAACAAACTGCACACAAATTATTGTTGTCAACCTACAAACTGCTTCATGGAACATTTCCTAAATTTGGGACAGCGCCCCCTAGATACAATAAAACCTTTGTAATTTCTGCAAAAAAGCTCCAAACTATATCAGACATGGTGGGAGTCATCACACAACTGCAATTAACACATGTATGTGCTCACTCGTTCAAATCACTTTAACTCCGCCCACTTACAGCCTTTTGGGTCTAGATGACCCATGCAACATTTGATTGATGCCAAATTAACAGAAAACCATCTTTGATGACCAAAGATGACCCCTATGGGATTTAGTTGTAAATGGTCACAGCGCCCCTTACATGGGTTCAAACTTCATCAACTTCTAAAGACAAGGTCAGAATGGCATTATACTTGGCTTGTGTCATCATGTGACTGCACCAAACACATTGATGCGGTTGTTGGTTCAAAGCCCTTTGGCTCCGTCCCCTTTCAGCTCTTTGGCTCGAGAAAGCACACGCAACGTCTGATTGATGCCAAACTACCACAAAACCATCTATGACTCCCTAAGAGGACGTCAATGGGATTTTTATGTAATTGGTCACAGCGCCCCCTAGATAAGATTAAGAGTTAATTACTTCCTAATACAAGGTCAGAATGGCATTATACTTGGCTTGTGTCATCATATGACTGCATCAAACACATTGATGTAGTTGTTGGTTCAAACCCCTGTAGCTCCACCCCCTTTCGACTCTCTGGCTCTAGATAACACACACAAAGTCTGGTTGATGCCAAAATAACAGAAAACCATCTTTGTCAACCAAAGCTGACCTCAATGGGATTTTTCTGTAGTTGGTCACAGCGCCCCCTAGATAACTTTAACCTTTAATGACTTCAAAAAATGTGGTCAGAATAGCATTAAACTTGGTCTGTGTCATCACACCACCAGTGTATACCCTAGTGGTAAGATGTGAAATTTAATGGTGGGCTCAGAGAAGATGCTGAGTCAGGGTGAGGTGCAGACGAGGAGAACATTTGCGGTTTCTGGTGTCGGGATGGTCGACGTTTATGTTCAGCAGACGTGCCCGGGTGCACCAGACTGCCGGCCGGGCTGAAGCGGCGCGGAGCTGCGAGGGCCGAACGACGCTGCTTGCAGCTTTAATTTCTGATTATTATGGGTCACTCTGAGTTTTTAAAGCAGGCTAAACATGAAAATAGTCTCCTACACATATCTGCTGCATTAGCTTCTGATAGAAAATAGATGGTGAAACTCTAGAATTTGAAAAGCCTGACAGATCTACATCACAGTCACTGAACGTTCATGAACTCACCCATACCCAACAAAAAAAATGGGACCCAATTCCTCCCTGTTTGGCACTCAACTTTAAGGTGTTTTATTGAGAGGTTAAACCACCAAACAGTTCCCGAGCGCAGCCACTGCTGCAGCTCACCACCTCCTACGGGGATGGGTCACATGTGGAGGTATAATTTCACCAGTTTGTGACGATGACTGATGGGACTTGAGTCACAACAGGGAAGGTTGTTGTTGTTTTATTGTCCAGGAAACAGCAGAGATCATCTCAGCCAAGTAGAAGCTAACCATTGGCATTAGCAACTCCACCACACAGCAGAACTCCTTCAGGTATGTGTTATTTGTGGAGATAAAACATCAGTGCAGCAGAACAGAGTCAGTGGTAGAGTCACAGTTCTGTTAGCCAATCAGAGGTGAGATGTCCAAATATCAGGAAGTAAGACTGCAAATTCTACCATCTGAAGGTCTCCTCTAATCTGGCAATCTTCTAGATCCTGAAAAGGACAACCTAAGCTTTTTGTAGCCAGAGTACGACTTGCAAGGCATTCATTTCTACTATAGACCACTGCAACTGTATTGATTAAACAAACCACACCTTTAATACAACACTCTAGTTTCCAAAACAAATTTCAAGAACTGATTTTAATGATCTTTCATTTGTTTTAAGATTTTCTTTTGTGGTTTAGATTTATGATCTTTTTATGGCTTTTGTTAAAATCTGCTTTTAAGCACACCTTTTATGTTTTCTTCATCTGTATAATGAGATTTAGTAATTTTCTTTTATTTGTTCTACGATATTTGGCTTTTTTTTAGGATGATTTCATGACTTTATGATTTGTTTTGTTGATCCTCGCGAAGCAGTTTGTGAATTTTCTTCCTGTGATACGTGCTACATAATTAAACTTTACTTACTGTCTAGAGATGTGTGTTTTTTCTTAGTTAATGGAATTCATCAGATTCTAGGAAAATATATAAACAATAGCTGTTGTCTTTACCCCACAGAGGTACCCACCAATGCCTAACCAACATCTGGATCTCTAATGGAGCCTGCTCAGATGTCTCCTGTTTCCTCCTGCCTCTTCGTTTGTCTGATGTTTGATGCGGACAAACACCGTCTGGTGGATTTATTGGAGCCTATTTCAGAGAAAACAGTTGCCTGCAGGGACTATTGAGAGTGGCTCAGTCAGGATGTGACTGTTAAATATATTTACAAAGCGTGAAGACTTAACAGTGTGCTTAAAGAAGGTTAACCCTTCAGTGGCAGCACAATGTAATCCTCCTCCTTCTTCTTAGCTTAATTCGACTCTCCTTTTTATCTATCTTAGATGGTTATTTAAAAGAAAACATCAACTCATAATAGTGATGTGGGATCTGAAAACAAACAACAAAAAGATCATTAAAGGGAAATAATTAAAAATATGGCTTTGAATTGTAAATTTAGAAGATATCTCATTGGTCAAGTCTGTAGACATAGGCTTGCATGGTGTTTTAATGAGGATTTATTTCTTGTTAGTGTTGACACAACCGGATCTGAAACGGTACTGTCTGTTTCAGCTTCATAGTGTAACATCAAACATAGGCATCTCACTGTGGGGGTAATTAGCTACTGTGGCCCATAGACAGCTATTCAGTTAATTATAGGGAGATGAGAAATAATAGTTATTTATATGTGCTGCTTTAAGTCATCAAAAGAACCCTGCAGAGCTTCGCTGACTGGAAGGCGCTTGCTAGAACTGGGAGCCTTACCTTGTGTTGTTTGGAGTCACCCAACTGGACTTCTTGTAGACACGTCCTACAAACGGAAACACTCCTACTCCCTCTCAGATCGTGACTCCGTTTCATTGCCATGAGGTCCTCTCTGTTTGGTGAGAGGCAGCGCGTGGGGCCCATCGACGCTGGTTTAGCTCTCCCACTGAGTGGGATCTGCATGCTGGTGTTGGGCAAAAGCTGCTCTAGAGACGCTTGGATCGCATTAAAAGATTGAGAATGAGGTTCAGGCTGCACATGCTGAGCTGCACCAGGAGATCTTGGAGAAGCAGGACAAGACACACTAGGTCTTGGATGGTGGGACTTCATGTGGCTCTTCTCCTAAAAGAAAAATGAGAGGTCTTGTCATATTCATCTAATATTTATGGGAAATTCCACAAAATCAAACATTTATTGACCTAGGTGTATGTATAGTTTTGAAGATTTAATGCTATTTTCTTCTTTTTTAAGAACGTACACTGCAAAAACTGATTTCTAAGAAAGTTTTTAAAAGTTTCATTTTTAGACATTTTATCTTATTTTTAGTCTAACAAGAGCAAAACAATCTTGAGAAAAATAGCATCACTTAAAATAAGGTAATATTTTTACCATACCATACCAACTTTATTTATAAAGCACATTTAAAACTGCACGGCAGCCAACCAAAGTGCTGTACAGATAAAAGTAAAACACAACATAAAAACAAAAACACAATCAATAATAAAAGTACACAACAAAGCAGTAAAATCACAGTCAATAAAAGAATAAATAATAGAAATAATTAATAAAAGTCAAGGGTAAGTGGGCCTTAAGCAGTGACTTGAAACGGGGGTGGATGGTGCCAGTCTCACTGAGAGAGGAAGAGCATTCCAGAGGGACGGAGCAGCGTAAAGCAAAAGTGTGTCTTGTATTATATATTTAAATATGATAAAAAAACATTTTTGTTCTGAGTAAAAAAATTATCTGTCAACGGGATAAGCAAAAGTGGCTTGCCTTAATAATTAAAACTTGCAAATAAACCAAATTTAAGAAAATTTACTTTATTTTAAGAAATGCAATTTTTCTAGAGATTGTTAATTTTTTTAGACTAAGACCAAGATCTAAAAATGAGACTTTTCTACTTTCTTAGGAATCAGTTTTTGCAGTGTACAAATAAAAAGGATGACACATGAACACATGAGTCAGCTCGTAATTAGCCTCTCATTTAAAAAGGCTCCTAACATTCAATTCACCTTTGCTAATCAATACAGCTGTCATGATTCTGAGTTGGCTCGCTGTACTTAGCTTCAAATTTGTTGCTTATCAATGAGGTTATATAAGACGCTGCATACTGTATGTAAAAGCATGCATGATTCTTCTCAAACCTGAAAACCACAATGCTGAATACAAAAAGTTATTCCAGCAAGCTTCAAAAATGCGTGATGCTAAAAAGTTTGTGACTAGCTCCTTTGCCGAGTGGCAGCTGAACTCACAGCACAGAATTCTAATTATGACCCACTTTCACAGAAAAAGAAGAGAACCCAAAGAAAATTCTCAAAAAATAAAAATAAAATAAACAGTGTTAATCAGCTAAGCTAGAACTGAGATAAGTACTTGTTAGTGTAGTTAAGTAGCTAGCTGATTTAGCAAGACTCTGTCTCTGTGTAGTCAGTCATCCCTTCATTCAAAACCACCATGCATGAAGTATGAGGCCAAAGTCTGAGTGATTTTGCTGAAGAGATTGTGGGAAGTTTCTCTCCAGGGTTTTCTGTCCAACAGGAAACAGTAAAATCCATTTCAGCTGTTGTGAAACAAAGCTTCCGTCTTTCATGAAGGAGTGAGCTGCACACTTTAGACGTTCTGTTCAAGCCCGCGCTGCATCAAACTTTCACACTGAAGTCATAGATTTTTGGTGGACCATAATTTAATGTTATTCTGCAATATCAATTACAAACTGCCATTGATTTAATTTCCTAACTTGATGAATAGATGCATCAAAATCTATTTATATTTTAATAAAGCACTTTTTTAGGGAAACTGAGAATCCCAGCTGAACCTTCTATTACTGTATGCCTTCTTCTTGTTATTGGGCTAAAAGTTCTTCTCAAGCCCCATCAGTTGTTTAAAGTCACCATCTTCAATATATTATTTGCTCCCTTTGCTTGGTCATTTTCATAAGATCAGCTGAATAAACAGTGAATCACACATTTTTTTTAGAAAAAACTGGGTGTAGGTGTGAGCAACGGCTCGATCCTCGGCCTGAGCTTTTTTTCTCTTTCATCAAAATAACTGCTTTCCTCAGAAAATATAACAAACTTCACCTTGCCGTATTGTTTTTGATACATTGCAAATGATTTCGTACGCTCAAAGTTCATTGCTTTGTTCTGCTTTTAATATTTCTCTCTGTTAAAGAATCGATGTCTGCTCAAGAGAGTTGCACGAACCTGACGCAACACTTTGAAAGATAACAATGCTCCAACTTCAAAAAAGGAGCAACCTTCAATAAATGATTAAAATCAAAATCGGGCTCACCTGGATGCTTAACTAAACAAAGGCAATCTGAACACTATTGACAGCATGGCAGAACAAGAGCTAAAGCTTCCAGTGTATGTTGAATCTCTCCAATCGTATTTCTGCTGATGCTGTGGATATTTGACCAAATACGAATAAAACAGAATGAATGCATGGCCACTAACTGACTGGGGTACAGTACAAGCACGGATGCTGGACATGTGATATTATATTAAACTTTCATTTCCAGTGACACTCTCCCACAGTCCTGCCAGACCAGAAAGGACATCTAATTCCTCCAGCGAGTTCTAGGCCTGCCCCGGGGTCCCCTCCCAGTGGGATATGCACTGGAAAATCTCCAGGGGAAGTTACTAGGAGGCTTCATAAGCAGATGCCTAAAACACATCAGCTGACTCCTTTCAGAGAAGAGGAGCAAATGCACTGCCCCAAGCTCCCTCTAGATGATAGGCTCCTCCACTATCTCTACCACCTCATGGATGAAGCTGATTTTGGCCGCTTGCATCTGGGATCGCCTTATTCTGGTCACAAGCCAAATCTCACTGTTATAAGGGCGTAGAACAGTAAACGGACAGTTTTGCTTTCCTGCTCTTCTACAACAGACCAGAGCAAAGCCCGGATGCATGGGGTCATTTCTCTATGTGTCCCACCAGCGCTCAGGGAACAAGACACCAAGACATTTGAAGTCCTTTGCTTGAGGCAAAGACTCACTCCCAACTCACACAATGCTCCATCTTTTTCCAGTTGAGACCCATGGCCCCAGATTTGGAAGGGCACAAACTTGGCTGACACTGAAGGTCTTGACATAAAGATGCCCACAGAACCGCATCACAACCAAACAGCAGAGATGAGACCTTGAGGTTCTCCTCTTCATGACTAGGCCATGACCAGCTCCCATCCATCATGGAGAAGAAGCAGCTCTGTCTACAGCCAGTGCCTAATCTTTAAATAAAACATTACTGGAACGCAAATAGCAAGTGTCACTGAGGGCGAAACTCGTGTGTGTGTGTGTGTGTGTGTGTGTGGGGGGGGGGGGGGGGGGGTGTTAGTCATGCAAAATTACGTTTTTGAAAAATAACTAATACTTATGCCCATATTTTCAAATTTCACACAAATTTCTCTTAACGCTGGTGGTTTTGCCACTTTACTTTCCCCTGCTTCGTACAAGACCCCCCCCCCCCCCCCCCCCCCCCAACCCCTGCTCAGCAGCTGCTGACTCTGGTGCGCCTGCAGCCTCTCAAAACAAACTACAAAGAATAATATAATTTTCTGTTATTCACTTCTGCAGCAAACTTACCTTCAAGGGCGTCTGTTTGTTTTTAACACTGGAGTGCATGTTCATTTTTAATTATATATGAATACTTGTTTGACGCTTAATTACAACCCTGCAGTGTATTGACAGGTGTTTTAAAATGGAGCTCAATAAAAGCATGATGGGGTTGACCTCAAATACCATTAAATACAAAAACAAGGGCCCAACCTCTGAGCTACAGCAGCACATGCAAGCTGTCTGAGACAAATACTGATAAAAGCATCTGGTTTAATAATAATAATAATAATAATAATAATAATAATAATAATAAATTAAAAAATGATGCAATCTCACAGTAGGACCGTCCGAGAAAAAAAACAGTTACCAAATTCTGTTCAGGCTTGATCTGGCTCTAATTAAGTACTGAATGCAACCCTGGTAAGTAACTTAGTGCCAAGAAGGACTACATAGGAACCAGAAAGCCCTTAAGAGGACCAAGCATTCAGTTCTTTAATCTCTGCACTGGTTATCAGTAAGCTACAGAATCAACTTCAAAGTGCCTCTACTACTTTAAGGGAGAAGAAAAAACTGGGTGAATTATATATTAAGGGTACTAATGCAAGAAAAAGCAACTGTGTCATTCAGTAAACAAAAGCCCTGTTAGAGACAGGAGCTACTTTAAAGAAGCCAAGGAAGAAAGACATAACAAAACAGAACAAGGCTTAGAAGGAACAATCATAAGACAATAACTTAAAACACCAATGTGAAAAAAAAAGGGTGAAAACTGACAAGGTTATCTCAAACAGAAAGGAACAATGAACAAGAAGAAAACATTAAAAAGAACACAAGAATAGAAAAGACCAGTCGAATTACACCAGGGGACATTAAGGAAAAAAGCATGATCCCGTAAAAAATCCAAGGGAATTTTCATGAAACACGCAACATGCTAGCTATGAATTTCATTGCTCATTCTGGCATTATTAAATCATCAAAAAGACAAACTCACAATCTGAATGTCTGTAGCGGAGGAATTTGAGACACAGCTTGCTGAAATGCAAAGCTATTATTCCACTACATCCTTTCATGTAATGAAATGACCCAGTCTGCGTGTGTAAGTCAGTCTGAAAGCATTTTCCCTTCTTTCCTTTATATCCTCTTTCAGTGTGATAAGAAAACAATATTCTCCCGAGTTTACAGCTGGGCCTGTGTTCAGCAGGACATAAAGACCGACATCACAATAGCTGCACGCAACACAACTGAAGGTAAAACATTATTTATGACTTTCAGCAGTTTGACATGATGTTGTGTTTTTTTCTTTTTTGCCGAACAGTAACTCACTTCGTAAATGTCATTAAACGTTACACCGAATCTGTCATCAAATGAAAGTTAATTACGCACATCTCATTACTTAATTGGTGTCCATACAGCCTGTTAATCTCAAGTTTCACCAACAATCAAACTTTCCAACTCCTCCATCTCTTTAAACAATGTTTTTTAAGAACAGTATCATTCCAGTTACCCTGGTGTCAGCAAATGCTCCTTACATCACTTTATCAAAATCCTCCGGTGGCCCATTCACTGCTGCTTATCGAGCCCGATGCTGCAGCTCAGTGTAGTTACATGTGGATTGTCACACAAGCAAAACTGGAAGGTGCTTACACCAACCCTGCAAAACTGCTGACTGTATATTAGGAAGATTGTGATGTTTATATTTATGTTAACCCTTCCCAACTATGATAAACAGCCACACGGTATGTGTGGAACATGTGTGGAACAAAACAGAAGCTTTATATTTTTTATTATTTAAAGGACTTGAAGATAAATAGAAAAATGTAATATTTAATAAAGCATTAGTAACGTGCCACTTCTAATTTTGTAACAAATATGACAAATTTGCTATGAGCTTACATTAACTGGCCACTTTATTTGTTGCATCAGCTCAATGACTTGTGAACTAGGTAATCTGCCATTCACATATGCCAGCAACCCATTGCAGTTAGACCATACCATACCATACCATACCATACCATACCATAGCATACCATACCATACCATATCATACCATACCATAACAAACCATAGCATAGCATAGCATAGCATAGCATACCATACCATACCATACCATACCATAACAAACCATACCATACCATGCCATACCATATCATACCATACCATACCATAACAAACCATAGCATAGCATAGCATACCACGCCATACCATACCATAACAAACCATACCATACAATAGCATACCATACCATACCATATCATACCATACCATACCATAACAAACCATAGCATAGCATAGCATAGCATACCACGCCATACCATACCATAACAAACCATACCATAGCATACCATACCATACCATACCATACCATACCATACCATACCATACCATAACAAACCATAGCATAGCATAGCATAGCATAGCATAGCATACCAAACAGTACCATAGCACAGGGTGTCCCCCAGTGCTTTATAAGCCAGGCGGCCCGCCAGGCTTTGCTTGCCCACCTGCCAGACTAAGCGTCATGCCCCGCCCCCCTCCCAGACCCTACCGTGTCTGCTGACATGAACAGCGCAACAAAAGTAGAGCCCTCCATTAGCTGATACTGGTGAGAAACAGCAGCAGAACGGGTGCAAACCCTCCACCCCCACTGTCACAGAGGAGCACTGTGGGACGGAGCACGCAACACCGCTCTCACAGAGGAGCACTGAGAGACGGAGCGCGCGAACACCCCCACCCCTGGGGGACCGAGTCTGAATCCATGATATGAAGAATTAACACCCTTCTGATGGCAAAGGATGGTCTGTGAAAAGTATACCTAATAAAATGTCTGGTATGTCTAGTGAGTATATGAAGAAGTAGTTAACACAATTTTTTTTTCATTTTTTTGTTCTATTAGTTTGTGTCATTTTATTATTAGATCTATTTTTACTCCCATCAACTGTTTAGCGTGGTTGTCATCATTTCAATTCCCAGAGTGCTAATGAGCAGTCACCACACAGCACGCCAGTGTTTAAATGTTAGAGTAGAAAAAGAAACTAACTAGCTACACAGTAAGCTTTATTATGACTGACACAGCATCAGTGACTTTCTGATTCAGACAGTCTGTACGCATTGCTCTTGTTTGTACTGATTGTTATGGCAGGTTCTCTGAAGAAATAAATGCATGAATAATAAAATAAAACAGCAGTAAATGAAAAAAAGAAAGACAAACATGATATTGTTTCTTTTTTTCAAACCTGAGGCCACACATTTTTATGGTGGAGTTTGTTTCTTTTGAAGTGCTCTTTTTCTTTTGAAGTGTTCCGATGAATTCACCGAAGAGGCAACATGATCATTTGATTGCAGAGAGAGCGATGCGCGCCTCGAACAATCTGTCTGCACGTGGGTGTGTAAGTGTGTTTGTGAGAGGGTGTGTGGGTGTGTAGAACGAGTGTGCACATGAGTGTACCATGTGATTCCTCCCCACTTACCAAGCAAACACTTGTGCTGGTTTTTGTCTCTACTTTTATAATGGTTTTTACCATAAAGCACTGATTACAATAAACAAAGGCAGCGGATCATTTGATTAAATGATGTAAAATGACAATCTACAAAGGATTGTGCTCTTTCACCTGGTTTTCAATATAAATAAGAATCCGTTTCCAACCCTGCAGGTAATATTTTTAGATTCTGAAGCAAATGTCAGCTCAGGACAGTTGTAGACAAGAAAAAGGTTATACCTGCTCTTTACAAAGGTCACTATAAAAGATTCACTCATTTCCCAACAAACATCCTTTCAACTATTAACAATTTTTTTCTCTTAACTCAAATCATCCTAGTAGTACAGATCTAAACATATGCATCTTTGCTTGCACACAACTTCACCAACCTCTAGGAAGTGCTCCACGATCACTGACACCAACTACTGAAATGCAAAAATTGCGAGAGTCTGTTTTATGTTTCAGAATAAGACCAAGTTCACTTGTTTCTCCAACGGATTTGCAGTGGTCTCTAGTACAAATGAATGCCTTGTAAGGGGAGAAAGCTCATGCGCTCCTGTTTCAGAGACTAGAAATAAGCCAGATGACAGGAGAGCTTCAGACGGCAGGATTTATTTCTTGATATTCAAATTTCTCACCTCTGATTGGCTAACTGTAACACAACTACCACTAACTCTGTTTGCTTTGCAACATTGATGTTTTACCTCCACAAATAAAACAGGCCTGGAGGACTTTTGTCTTGTTAAGGGGTTGATGATGCTACACATTCTCACATCCGAAGCGTGGAAAAATTACGCTGGGTAACCAAGTTTCTGACGCGTTGCGAGGCCACACTCTGTGCCAGAGCGCCGTTGTCCAACTGCCGCAGTAAAATGGAGATTTCACCCTCTTGCTATTTAACCTTCCCCTCACCCCCATCCTAACTTTAACCCTCTTGCGCTTTCAAAACTTTGGTTCTAGTTGTAACGTCCCTCTCCACCACGTTTAATGGGAACTTTAGAATGAGCAACAGGGTTAAGGTTAGGACAGGGGTGAGGGGAAGGTTAGCAGTTAAATATCGGTGAAATGTACGTTTTACTGAGGGCGTTGGAAACCGATGCTCTGGCACAGCACGTCGCATCCAGACACTTCGGGACTCCCAAACATGTTGAAAACAAATGCTTGGACATCCAGCGTTATTTTCCGACACTTCGGGTGTAAGAATGTGTTGGATAATGTTAGTTTCTACAAGCTGAGCTGTGCTCTGCTCTCTCCTGGATTCTAAATTTAAAAAAAGAAAAACGGTCCAGTCTCAAGGTTGAGCCTATGAATGCTAACGTGCTAATGTCATAGGCGTTTCTAATGCGAGCGTTTTCGAGTCTAATTTAATTTTTTGTGGTTCTTCATCATACACAGATTAAACAAAGCTTGTTGTAACCTTTGCTGACATGTTTTGGCGTCCAATGCTGACTTCATCAGAGCACCGCTCTTTACGGCGCTTTCTCTAACGCGGCTAATGCAGGAAATAAGGGTAGTAGACCATTTTCGGGTCCAACCTGCAAGTGAAGCTCAGAATGGCCGATCATATCTCAAAAATAGCAAATAAAAATGTACTTTATGAGTGACCTCGGCCTTTAAATAGTAGACAGTAGGCATTACTTCAGCACCACCCCACCCCCTGCCAAATTGATTAAGCCAAGCTAATCAGATGCACAACAAAACGAGGTTCTTAACTCTGAATTATCAAAGTTATTATAAAGTTTTAAATAAGTAAAAGCAATTAGCATTTCTTTGAAGATAGTTCTTTCGAAACTTCAGTTCAACCATTTAATTTCCCTACTCAGCATTAAAAAATGCTGTTCTTTATTACGAGTATTAGGGTAATTAACAAATCCTCATATGAAGAGAAAAACCTACTGACCTTTGAAGTGAAATGTGCTTCACAGAACATTCAAAAATTACCAAACAGAGTGCATTCTGACACTAACAATTAATGAAATGACATGTTTTTGTTAATAATTGAATTTACCAGGATCAAACTGTGGTGGAATGAGTACATATTCCTCTATATAGTTTAGAACAGCTGTTTTTCTAACCCAGGATGTTTGGTCATCAGTCTTCTTACAACATAAGATGCACTTTAAATGCATATGCATGCAGAATGCTGTGTGCTTCCATCACTCATCTGCAGTAGCCGTACCTCATCACTTTCACTGCCAATAAAGTCGTCTTCAGGCCGGGCGTCAAACCTCCCCCCACGGTTGCTCTGCACCTGATCATCCCCCATCTCCATCTTCTCCTGGTCACCTTGGCTTTGCCCTCGTTTGGGTGAGCGTGGCGGCGATGAGAAAGTGAACAGATCCTGTTGAAGAGTGAGCTGGGGCTCAGACCCCTCATTACTCTCCCAGCTGCTCCAAACCTGCAGGTTAGATGACAACCCTGGTCCGAGATGAAGTTCTGCTGAACTTTCTTTGGCAGGGCGGCAACTACGCTCATCTAGAATAAAAAGTATGTACAATACACATGATATAAATAAACATGATGAAACCTTAAATGGAACTTTGGCCTTTTTGAGTTGTTAATTTCCTATTTTAGATATTCCTGAACAGCCTATGTTAAGAGATATAGCTTTCAAGTACTTCATGACTGATAAGCTAATGGTTAGTTCATGCACGGCTACCAAAAGTTTATTGCTGCCATGTTAGGATGGCTCCAAACTATCAAAATTTTCATGCTTTCCATCACTGTTAAAGTCATACCAAACAGTTATTTTGGCAGAAACTCCTGACAAATGTGACCCCTGGAAGAACCAGGAGTGGTACAGTCTAGTGATATTTGTTATACTTGTTTTAAATAACCTAAAAACGATACGTCCAATGAGAAAGTGTAAAAAAAAATGTTTATATGAAATTTTCAAGACTGGAGCCTTTTCAACAGGACAGTAACACACTTTGATCTTGGCTGGGCTTGAACTACCCGTCAGTCCTGAACGGTGTAAGGCTTATCGGAAACTTTTAACTTACCACGATGAACTGAACTCAACTGGAATGTTTTACTTTGTGAAGTGCATTGAAACTACTCTTGTCCTGATTTGGCGCCAGATAAATAAACTGAATAGAATTAAAGAAGGTGTCTACAAAATGTTTCAAAACGGCTATAAACCCTTTAATTTCCAGAACCTATCTGTTAAATCTTGTCATCCCTGATCTTGATGTGTTTGCAGGTTTAATTTTATTTGATAACGCCACTAGTATCTGTACATTTTAATGCATGAATAACACTGTAACTGCAGTTGGCAGCTGCAACCTCAGTCCGCTGCTGAGCCATCACTCGTGTAATGACAACTCTGTGAAAACATCATTAAAATTTTGCAGAAACATTTTCAACAAAGCAAATATTTAAATCCTGGTTTAGACGTTTGTTTTTACAAAGGAAAACATCTGAAACGATGTTGTTGTCTGCACGGTCAAGAGAGCAAAAGCTTTAATACACTAAAAATGAAAGTTGCATCAATTTGTGCTCATTGTTATTTTTTATATAAAAAGAGGCAAATCTTTATTCTCTGAGATAAACCTCAGTTCAAAGATAGAAGCACCTAAATCTGAATGAGTGAGCACATTTGAACCTCTCGACAGTATAATCACTTCCTCTAATTGCCCACTGTGTGGCAAACCCTGGGCCCAGGAGATGTCCCTCTGACTTTTATTTAATGTGCCACATTACCATTAATGAACTAACTACTTTCCATCTGTGGGCAGGCCTGCACCAAAGGAGCTTACTGCTTGTAGAGAAACCTCTATAAATGAGCTCTCAGAACACACGCGCTCATTTTGCAAGGACAATGTGTGTGTGAGTATGTGTGGGGAGGTAGTGGGGAAAGCGGTGAGGGAAGAGTTCGCAGGTTGGATTGAGGAGGGTCATGCAAGTGGGCCTGATGCGGGTTATGTAAAATTTAAAAGGGGAACAAAAGCGTATGTGCAGCTTCCACTGCGGGGCATTAAAATTCATGCAATATTTTGAAGCGATCTAATTTATGAATTATATAAAGAGCAAGAATAGGTGTTTTTTTTCTCTTAAGTATAAAGAAGCTGCTTATTAAAATCTGAACATGTCAGGTAGATATCAAAAATCACCCAACATGCATATCAATATCTTTTTGTTTCATGTTCTTGTCCCTCGTTGTCTTATTATCCTGCTGCAGCTCTCGCTCAGTCAAAAGCGTGCACATGCATTCCTGCTGCCTTACCTGTGGTTTGGTGTTCTGACTCATCTGTTGGGGTCAGAGGCTGATGTTTGTACGTTTGCAGACTGGATGGGAGTGTGCATTTCTCTCTACTAACATCTGCCTTCTTCTGACCCCCAGATTTAATGTTCGGAGGAGCTTAACAAAGAAATCAGATGCTTCATTGTTAAAGATTCAATAAAATTCACGCTATATGAAATTCAAACAAGGATTGAATTTTTCAGAGTATTCAGTTTACCTGATGAAGGTAGCCTCTCTCTTCCGGCGCCCAGGATCCGTAGCTTTTTACATCCCTGCTTGTCAAGCACTCGTTTTTGCGGGGGGCGTGGCTGGAATTTGCAAGATGCTCCTACAAATAATAATTTCAACACCAGAAAAAAGGTTTATAACACCAAAACATTCGAACAATGTTATTAAAGCTTGCCAGAAGCGTATCTGTGAACTGATTATGTACCGTGAAAATGCCTAATAATGAAGGCATTTTGGTAACGGAGCTTCTTACATTCATTCATCGAAAAAATGAATATATCAGGCTGCATTATGTCCAGCTGAATTAGGGAATTTTAATCATCCAGATTTGGCATTTCATCCTGAAAGGAGGATGTATTACCAATGATAAAGCTGTTATTGGACAGAGGATACTCCATTGAAAACATTTGTTGCCTCCTGTGTAATATGCTTGGATGTGCTGCATGAAGAACAGACTGATTTATTTTATCCATGAGGATCCTAAGCCATAGGAAACAAGCCGTTACTGAGCCAGATCCAAGCAAACATGGTGCTGTGGCAAAATATGCAACAATTATAGCTTGCTGTTTGCCAAGTTGATTTCTCAACTTGGGTAGAATTTTTTAAAGAAATCCTTATTAGTTCTCATTTGGGCATTATCTGACCTAATTTCAGTAACCAAACAGAAAGCCTTCACATTTCTAGAAAGCTGTTGATCCGTTTCACTGAAATCACACCCGCACCACGCCTGTAAACGTACGCACAGATATAGATGCAGCTGTCACAAATTAAATTGAGTCCAATCGAAGGATTCATGTGATGAGATAGCTCAAAATGTTGAAAGAATTCAGACAATAAGGAAAAAACACAGCTCTCTACACAGATTTACCCTCATGCAGACTCTGGGAGTTCTGACCATGGGATGAATTTTCTCCCATCTTGGTAATATTCAGACTCTCTGCAGTCATCCTTTTGTTCATTCTACTTGATGGGAAACCCTGTGGCATGTAATAAAAAATACAAGTTCAGTAACAACATATCCTGTTTTTACTCACACACAAAATTCAACCACAACATTAGAACCTTCTTTAAAGAGCAAGTCACCCTCTACCAGAGTTAAACTCCACTCCCATTTCCTGTTTGAAAAATGCGCCACAAGGAGGCATTGCCTGGCAGACCAAGAGGGCAGAGAGGCTAACAAATACACACGGAGCCTCACAGCGGCATTCTGACATCATATGGTACCAGCTAACATCATAGAGTACCTCTTAGCCGAAAGCGATGGCAGATTTCAATTCTAATGCAGTTCAGAGTTTTAACCTGAAGAGGGCGCAACACTGACAGTTTTAGGCAAAATATTCAAATTTTAACTAAAATGCACAAAAATACCAAATGATTGATTACATGTGTCTACAGTACGATTAGACACACATTTAAATAGTTTATCAGCAAAAGAAAGTTGATATGGGAGTGAAATGCCCTTTAAAGAGCAAGTAACACCTAAATAAACTTTTTTTTTGCTGATAATCTGCATAGATGAGTGTCTAATGGTGCTGTCACATGCGTAATCATTAGTGTGGCAGTTTAGTGCAACTTACTCTAAATTTAATATTACAGCCCAAAACATAATTATGTCTCCATCATCAGGTTAAAAACTCTGCTCCACATTCATGTAGAATCAGCTGTGGCTGATGGCTAAGCTGAAAAATGTGACGTTATCAGCAAAGTACTACATAGCTGCACCGCACTGGTCTCCAGGTGAGACAGCCGCACCTCCACCTGGCTCAGCCACTCACCTCCCAATATGACACGCTGGCTCTCTGAGTCGCTCGCCTACCTGAAAGGAAGTGCCCTCCTCCCCTTTTCATCTAATGATCACATTTAACAGGAAATCCTCCAGAATGCTGCAGAACCTGTGCCTGCTTGTCTCCTGAGCGGTATAAGTCTTGTGTGAGTGCGTGATTGCGTACATGCACGAGTGCCCACGCGCTCGTTAACAACTCGTTTTTGAGAAATTTCGACAGCGCACGCGGGGGGTTAAGGCGGGTGCGATCTCCCACTGCCTCAGTGCCGCTCTCTCGGTCCGCCAGGTTCTTTCAGAAGCGTTTTCCTAACAGGAAGTGTGGATGAAATACATCACCACCCAGGCCTTGACCGTCACTTTTAATGTGATATTTGGCACAAGTATTCCAAAGGAGATCAACCAGCAAGGTTGTACTTAAGATGTGCAACTGCAGAGCTCTCTGTCGCCTACAAAAGACATGTTGCACCTCCAAACAGGACCCTGAAACAATGGACAAGGGTTGCCTGATCTAATGAATCGTGTTTCTAACAGAACCAAAAAAAACAACGTGCATCATTTATCTGGGCAAGAGACATGAGCAGGACAGCTTAGGTCAAAACAAGGAGTCAAAAAAATAAATAAATCTGATACTTGAGATCAGCCAAGCAGAACGGGTTTACTTGATACCCTCTTTTAACGGGATACTGAGCTGTGTCATACTGGAAACCTGCTCTGGAGCGGTTTGATGGACATGTTGAAGTGCTAGCTTTACTCCAAGTTTTCTGGATTTAAATCTGATTCAGCATTTGTGAAACATGCTGGAAAAACAAGTGTAATCCGTGGAGACTTGACCTTATAGCCTTCCAGTACAGGATTTAAAGAAACTGCTTCCTGATGCTGAATACTGCCAGACATATGAATGACGTGCCTGAAGGTCCAGATCCGTTGTGGCAACACAAAAATTCATTCACTATATTAATCCATGCTATAGCTGATTGGCCCGTTTCTGTAGAGAATTAGATGAATAACTGTACTGTAAACAAAAGGTACGTTTCTCTCCATTCCGTCTGAGGTTGTGCAGATATTCCTTCCAGTCTGAGGAGATGGAGCTGAAGCATTGGAGCCTGAGGCTGTGTGTAAGACACCCTGGGGCTTGGCTCTCCGATCTCTGGTTGATACGGCAGTGGGAGGCTGGTAAGGTGCTGTAAAGAGAAAGAAAATCCCCCCAACTCATTGGTGCACAGGCCAGAATATTTAAGGTTAGTGAGGAGCAGTGATTTGTCGAGCAACAGCAGCCCTTTTATGGTTGTTTTTGTCTCAAATAAAAGAAAAGGGAGTTAATAGAACTTTTTATTAGTTTAGATAGATACACAATGTTCTACAGTTCACTTTATTTTGATTTCCACAGACGGTGGAATGTTTTTTATTAAATCCAACAAGCTGCTCCATTTCATCACGAGAAACTAATGGGCCAAAGTGGGAGTTATTGTGATATGCCACAGATCTGACCTTGCTGTATCTCTGCAAGCTAATCAGGACCACCTCTGCAGAAGCTAACAGCAAAAACACACGTCCTGTCTGATCCTCATCAAAGCGCAGAGCAAACACTTCCACCCGGCAAGACAAACATGATCGACAACATGATGCAGGCAGAGATTAGTCGGATGTTCTGAGAAGGAAAGAGGAAATCACACTTTTGCGATATGACAGATGGAATACACACGAGCCATACCCCTGGGGTGAAGAAATTCCAGTGAGCTTTAAATCTACAAAAAGCCCTTAAAGAATGGGATAACAATAGGGATTAAGATGAGATATATGTATGATTGCTGGTTCTGTTGAAGTATTTTCTGGTGTGATTTCGATCTGTGAAAATTAATCGACCTTTAGAGCAGCAGACAGTCTTTGGCGTGACACTGAGCTAATCGGAGCTTGTTTGTTGCTGCGTCACAAAAAAAAAATCCAGATCCTTTTAACAGTTTCTGACAGAGCGGGTACCGAAGGAACAATGTACACCAAAAAGACTTTGCCAAAGTTAAATTGGATGCTTGCTTTAATAGCAATCATTTTAATTATGATTAGGTATGTTGTGCTAATAATGTAGATGCTAATTACGAGGAGATATTTCTCGTTAGTGGTGACTGCTCTCTTCTAAGGGTGTTGCTATTTGATCCAGCGAGACTTGGACAGCTGTCAGAACAAATAAATATTTGATGATAAAAAAGGCCACAAAGGCAGCAGAACAGGATTACTGGTGCATGTCCTTTTTCTATGAGAAAATAATTGCTGCTCCCTCAGTGCAGGTGAGGCCCAAATCAAGACAAAAATAAAGCCCGCAGAAATTGTGTACGAGGGGAAACAAAGTCATTATAAACTTAGCTAAAAACACTCTCTAAATGGATCAACTCGTCTTCAAAATACTTCAGTGAATTACTCCCAGAACTTTTTATGAGTCTGATATGAACCATAATTTGATTTCTAATAATAGCATCAGGACAATAAAAAAGGACAAGACATAAATTATGTTGAAAATCAATCCATTTATGTAGACTATTAAAAATGTCTTTTTTCTAAAGCTTAACATGTCACCTTAGCTATTTTTGCTGCTTGAACAAGCCATTCCTGCAAAGAGGGTTCTCCTGACAGCAGAGATTTCTTACACCAGACCACTGGATGAGGTTAGGTACCGATGCTAAAGATAAGGCCAATTTCTCACTCTGCACACCAGTTCATAGCAGAAGTGTTCAATAGAGCTTAAGTTAAGTTTTGTGGAGGAAAAATAAGCTTTAGTTCAGCTCCCACACTTGGTTTTGTGAGCGAGGGCAGTGTCAAGCTGAAACATAAAGGGCTGCAAGCTGCAAAGACAGCTGTCTAATATCACCGACCGAGGAGGCTAAGTCCGCCAAGGAAGTACACAAAAGTATGAAGTAGAGAAAATGGCTTTATTACTTTTTTTTGTTTGTTTCTCGATGCTCAATGCCTTTTTTATTGAAATCGATAGCAGTTATTTTATTGTTTTCACATTTGCTGATCCAGTGGTTTTATATTTACTTACCAGAAGCAGAGCTGAAAGGATCTGTCTTTATCTCTGCCCTCCACAGATGATCAATGCCGACCACGTGAGTGGCTTGGATCACATCGGGTGGGAATCGGAAATTGTTAGGGATCATGTCCATGAGGTAAACACCTTCAAGGAACATAAGTGCATTAACAGAATAACCACACATACATACAATACTTAAAGCAGAAATCCAGACTATTTTCTCTAAAGACACCATCTAGAGGCAGAAACATATATTGCATATTAAGCCTCACTTCCTTTTTCCGTGATTATGGCTGGAAGCAATGCCTCATGTTTGAGAACGCATGCCTCCCACCAGAAAACACACAGACACGCACACATACATGTGTGTGTGTGTGTGTGTGTGTGTGTGTGTGTGTGTGTGTGTGTGTGTGTGTGTGTGTTGAAAGCTCATGCTGAGCAGAGCTCAGTTCGAATTGCATGGGGCTCTACAGGATGGGTGGTGGGCTTAGCAAAAACATTGAGATATCGCTTAAACTATATCATGGCACAAGAAAAGACGTATTTTTATGGATTTCTAAAAATTATATATATACCTAATTCCTAGCCTGGTAAGCCATCCTGTATATGTGAATGTTCAGTCTGGCCATGACTCAGACAGAGCTCAGACGTGGGGTGAAATCTACAGCTGTTTTAACTGTCTCCACATGCTATTGGATAAAAAACAACATGATTTACTCACGGCTACGGATGTCAGTCGATGGGGAAGTCCGCCATACACAGTCAAAACAACATAAATACCTATTTTTTTCTAAATCAAAAACTTAAGTACCTCTATCTGCTCTTGACTCAAAGAAAAACTCAAGTCTAAAGAAACCAAAGTTGATACCAGCGCTGTTTCAAACAAGCCACCGCCATCTTTGTTTTTCGCTCAGTCGCAGTAACGTCCAGCCCACCAAAACTAATGGAGTGTGACACATGATTGTTTGGGCCTGCTGAGGTTCTAATAGAGCGTGCCCTGCAACTCTCTGTCTAGATTTCTAGGCTCCATAATCCCTGAATGGGGGAAAACTCCAGATTAATGCTTTGAAGCCCAATTAATAAATTTGGTGAAAGGCTGTCATTTTTTGCTCTAAAATAACCAAACATGTTATTGATTTAGGAAGCAGCTGCTAGAACAAAATGCATTACCATCTTCCGATGTTGTCCCAGGGTCTTTTTTCATCGTAAAGATCCTCCGAAGTTTACAGGTAGCAAACAAAGTGATGGCATCCAGGGTGGAAAATCCTTTAAACAGTTCTCCGCTCAAAGACATGAGGTCAATGCATAAAGTGCACCACTAGCACAACAAATACAGCGGGATTAAGCACATTTAAAACCCCATAAAAGGATGCACAACACATACGTGATACACTCACATTATCAAAATTCATTTCTGTCAGAGGGATCCTTGCATGCAAAGGTGTGGCAGCCAACTTTTTATGCACAGTTGAAAAGTGAAGCCGTCGTTTTAGATGCTCCAAATCGGTTATCCTGTAAATAAAACATAACACAAGGCTCATAAATTCTCACCAGCTACAACTTAGAAGTCCTGCACTGAGAAACACTGAAGCTTTATTGGTCTCCGAGGTGAACTCTAGACCGTGTTTGATTACAACCATAACATCAGCTGTCATCGTGCACTTTTAAGAGCTTTAATTGCAAACATTTGTGAAATAAATTCAAATAACTTTTCTACTCACACCAGCTCAATGGAAAAATCATGGCATCGAGGAATATTTACTTGAAGGACCAGAAATCTTTGGATAAGCCCAACTGTGACAAAACAGCAAAAAGGAGTAAATCTCAAATGACATGGCAATTAGTGAAACAAATTAAAAGTCACAGATGGATGTATGACTGCTTGGTGGTGACTTACGAGACATTTTTGTATTCTCTGGCATTTGCATCTTGACTGTCTGGCTGCTTCCCTCCAAACAGTAAACAAATCCCTTAACTTCTTTATTATACTCCTAAGAGGGAACATAATTCAGAGAAGGCCTTGCTTAGTCTAAGTCCTTGCGGGTTACGACTGGTATACCTGTTGTGTAAATGTCCCCAAGAGTGACAAATGTTTTTTATGGGAGCAAATATATGAGGTTTGAGCTATAAAGTCTTTGTGTCAAGATCAATTCAAGCTGTAAAAAGTGTTTAGTTGGCAGTATTGCTTGGCATATATAGTAATGAAGGTGAGAGTGTTTGTCAGTGTTGCGTGAAAAAAAAGCCACTAACCTGCACAAAAGTGTGTTACCAACACCTGATCTGATTTATCAGAGTGACAGCATATGGTGTTATTGAGCTAAAGTGTAACTTTTCTTTAGTCTTTGCTTATTTATGTGTAAGGTAGCACCAGGCTGGGTTAGAGTGCATGAATTGCTGCACATCCCAGCCCTGCAGGTGTTAGCCTGCCTTGGAGGACACATGTTAAATTTATCTGTGTGTAAATGTAAAGCTGGAAGTGGCATGTTCCTAGTAAAGCTCACTTTATGTATAGCTGAAGGTCCTCCACTGAGTTTCCATTTCGCTACGGGGTCTTTTCCTTGTCCACTGAAAATATCAAACACAGCTCCACCCTGTAAAAACAATCAAACAAAAAAACACTCTATAATCCCCATTGTTAGCTTTCATAAAGCAGCTCTTGTTACAGCTTAAGCTCAGTTCAGCCTAATACTGCGTTATGTGCTCTAAGAGCAAATATTCTAATTAGTCACGTTTACGTCATTTATACTTACCTGGTAACTATTCCTGAACATTTTCGACACGTAAAAACAAAACAATGTACGGGCGGTTTAACGCAAATAATGACCCTAACTAGAGGTCATGCCGCAGCAAAAATGTTGAACGACAAACTAAAAGTTTAGAGTTGTATTTATCGGGTACGCACGAGCACGTACTTTCATGCGTTAAGGCAGAGACGTGTGTTTAGCAAGACGTGCTGTCTCCATGGTTACCAGAGTTGCGCAGCCGCAACACTCCGACTGGCGCTCACAGCACGAACGTGACTCTTAACAGGTGCAATGTTGAAATGAGTTCCCCCTCACAAAATAACCCTAACCCTTACCCTAACCATAACCAGCTGTCACCAAACTGTATGTTTTGCATAAATATAATTTCTGAAATAACTTTGTGAAACACGATTTTATCTTTGTTTTTGGGTTAGGACACGCAGTTATTGCGAGTGGATGGTTCCAAGTCGCAGCTGGGTGGAAAAGAAACAGATCTCCACGGGGCAACTCATTTAGACATAACACCTGTTGGATCCGATTTCTAAATGAATATATTGATTATTCACCAACTATAATGTGACCGAATAGCAGCGTAACGTTAGGCAGGTAGTACTGAATCGGTGTGCGTGTTTGTTAATTATTAAATTACTATTTTTATCCGTCAAGTTCACCTTTATGATGATGTATTTTATAAACATGTGTGGTCATATAAAAAATGCACTGGTTTATGAATCATTTACTTGACTCAGTTCAAAATAGGCCTGTTACAAAGTTTAAGATGAAAATGTTTATTTTTTTAAAATACTTTTTTGATTGCAGCTTCAGCCTAAAGAATGGATGGCTTGTGTAAATCTGCAGCAGAGAGAATGAATATTTCATTTCTAAACAGTACTACATCATTTCTGGATGTAATGTGGTTGGATATCAAGGTCCAAAATTACACTTTGCATTGCTAAATTGCAAATGAAATTTATAATTTCAACATTTAGTGTAGCAACTTTGGACATTAAATGTGGTATGCACTAGCCTAGTGAACTAGACCAAATTCTTGCTATGCAAAGTTTACATTTATTTAGTCTGGTTTGCCAGGCTAAGTATGCACGGGACAAGGTCATAAAATGTCAGGAAGTGGTGGTGGTTGCAGTAAGCCCTAAATTAGAGCCCTGCACGGGCCTAAAATCTGAGCCCGTGTCCGGCCCGGCCCGATGGGGTGGAGCCCCAGCCCAACCCGGCCTGAAAAGGTTTTTAGGATTCTCTGGCCCGACCCGAGCCCAACGTTTTTTTTAACCAACTAAATGAAAACAAAGTGCGTCAATCCTGACCAATGTGTTAAAAGACGTGCAGGATCCGATTAATTTGTTTTTCCCTCATTTACAGTCACGGAGATGACGGCGCATTGGCTCTGGTGGTAATCAAGTTAAATTTTATCTCTTTCCAACAATTTTCACAAGAAAACAGAACAGACAAAAGCAGGGCTTGTGTTGACCGGATAGTTCCCGTATTTGACCGTTTATTTTGACGGAGAAAGAATAGAAAGAATTACCCCGACGCATGCAGACAAACTGACATTTTATTCTACGCACATCGCAGATGTAGCTAAATCACCCAAGCAAAGATTCCCATCTGAACATCTGAGCTGGACACTGCTCAGCGCAGCTCGCTGTCAGCGCATATGTGCACAGCGAGCTGAAGATGTGGAGGTTGGCTTGGAGCATGTCGCAGAACCAGAGCGCATGCGGGAAGATTCCTCCGACTGAAGCGAGTGTTTTCCAAACCCGGTCTCTCAGAGAGACTTGTTACTTAGAAAATGTTCCCTGATTATGAAACTTTGGCTGAATAGTGCTTGTTCCTTTCTCCAATGTGGCAACGCATCCAGGAGCCGTCTGAGGAGAATCCCAGAATCTCACATCCTCGTCACCTCAGGAAGCGCCTATATGATTACGCACAAGCGTGACCCGTCAACCCGGTCTCACAGTAAGACCGGGTTGGGCCTGTTCAGGTTTACGCAGACAATCTTTTCATAGAATTGACTTACAGATATAAAATTAATTCAGTAAAATATAAAGCATTTTATTTAAATATCCAGTCATTATTTTACAAGCACAGAGAGCCGCATCAGATTCAGATCAGCGGGAAGATTCCTCCGACTGAATTCAGTCGGAGGAATCTTCCCGCATGCGCTCTGGTTCTGCGACACGCTCCAAGCCCCTCTCCACATCTTCAGCTCTGTCAGGCTGATCAGACTGGATGAAGGAGACGAACAAGGTGAGACGTTTAACAGTTTTATTATTTCTCTGGTCGTATCTCTGTGAGGAAGAAACGATGACTGAGATGAGAAGCCGGTCACGGCGTCTTCCATATATAGCCTTGCTTGGCTGTGACGTGGAGGGAATCCCCGCGAGGAGCACGCTGGGAGCTCCCCAAGAGGGGCATGTCGGGAGTTGTGGTCCGAAGGTCAGCCGGGAGATACCTGAGTCCTGACAGGACCCCCCGGTCCAGGGATGGCTCCAGAAGTCCCAGCACGACCCCGGCGGACCCAGAAGTCAGAGATCAGGGAAGGGTCCAGGATGGACCGAGCCGGCTCCCAAGAGCGTTCCTCGGGGCCATAGTCCTTCCAGTCCACCAGGTACTGCCAGCCCCGACCCCTGCGGCGAGCGTCCAGGATGCGCCGGACGGTGTAGATAGGCTCACCGTCGAGGAAGCGGGCAGGAGGCGGCGCCGGAGCCGGAGGCGGGAGAAGGGAGGACTCCACGTAGGGCTTGAGCCGGGAGGTATGGAAGGTGGGATGGATGCGGAGAGTAGCCGGCAGCCGCAACCGGTACGTGACCGGGTTGATGACCCTTTGGATGGGGTATGGGCCGAGGAACCGAGGGGAGAGTTTCTTGGACCCAGCACGGACCCGAAGGTCAGCCGTGGACACCCAGACCTTGTCCCCAGGAGCATAGGAGGGACCAGGACGGTGTCGACGGAGATGCTGGTGAGCATAGCTGGTGTTAGCTCTGGTTATGGAGGCTCGTGCTTTGATCCAGGCGCTCTTGCAGCGTCTCACCATGGCTTCCGCTGCCGGAACGGCAACCTCGGGTTCTTGGTGGGCAAAGACCGGGGGCTGGAAGCCATAGCAGACCTCGAAAGGGGACAGCCGAGTGGCAGATGAGGTGTGAAGATTGTGGGACAGCTCCGCCCAGAGGAGGTATTTAGGCCACTGCGAGGGTTGAGCCGAGACAAAACAACGAAGGTACCGACCCAGCTGTTGGTTAGCCCGCTCCGTCTGGCCATTGGTTTGCGGGTGGTAGCCTGAGGATAGACTGACCGATGCTCCCATCAGCCGACAGAAAGCTTTCCAGAACCGGGCCGTGAACTGGGGACCCCGATCCGAGACCACGTCGACTGGGAACCCGTGGAGGCGCACCACGTTCTCCAGGAACAGTTCCGCTGTGCGTTGGGCTGAGGGGAGACCCGGAAGGGGGATGAAATGGACAGACTTGGAAAAGCGGTCCGTAACCGTCATGACAGTGTTGAGGTTATTGACCGGCGGGAGACCCGTGACGAAGTCCAGCCCCACGTGGGACCAGGGGCGGCTGGGCACCGGAAGAGGTCGGAGGGCACCAGCCGAGGCCTGGTTGGGGTTCTTGGAGCGGGCACAGACGTCACAGGCGCTGGTGTATTCTTTCACATCCCTCGCCATGCCTGGCCACCAGAGGGCTCGCTGGAGGAATTTAAGAGTTCTGGAGAAACCAGCGTGGCCAGACAGGCGTGATGAGTGGGCCCAGGACAACGCCTCGCTGCGACAGGCCGTGGGGACATAGAGGCGACCCGCGGGGGTCTCTGGAGGCGCGGTGTCGTCCCGGAGGGCGTTCTGGATAGCTTCCTCCAACGGCCACCTCAGTTGGCCCAGGAAGCGGTGTTCCGGGAGGATTGGCGCTGGCTCGGACGAGGGCGTGGAGTGGGTGAATTGGCGGGAGAGGGCGTCCGCCTTCTGGTTCTTGGCTCCCGGGCGGTAGGCGAGATGGAAGTCGTAGGGTTCAAAGAAGAGGGCCCAGCGAGCCTGGCGAGGGTTAAGCTGCTTGGCAGATTTAATGTGGGTCAGGTTCTGATGGTCAGTCCAGATCGTGAAAGGCCGAGTGGTGCCCAGAAGCCACTGCCTCCATTCCTCCAATGCCCATTTTATGGCCAGTAACTCACGGTCGCCCACACCGTACTTCTGCTGGGTGGTGGAAAACTTCCTGGAGAAGAAGGCGCAGGGATGGAGCCTGTCATCGGGCCCGCCTTGAGACAGGATGGCGCCGGCGCCGACGTCAGAGGCGTCGACCTCGACCACAAAGGGAACTGCAGGATCTGGATGGCGGAGGATCGGGGCCGAGGTCAAGGGGGTTGACCAGGTGACGGAAGGCCCGAATGGCGTCGGGAGTTAGACGAAACATCTGGCCAGGGGAGCCTGGTCGAGTGAGAGAGGTGTGAGGGGCTACGAGGGTGCTATAGTTCTTTATAAAACGGCGGTTAAAGTTGCAGAAACCCAGAAAACTCTGCAGTTGTTTCAGGCTGGTTGGCAAGGGCCAGTCCTTCACCGCCTGGATTTTCTGAGGGTCCATGGTTATCCCTTCGTCTGAGATCATGTAGCCCAGGAAGGATATGGACTGCTGATGGAAGGAGCATTTCTCGGGTTTACAGTACAGGTTGTGGTCCAGGAGCTGGGTCAGGACGGCGCCAACATGATGGATGTGTTCGGCCTCGGATTTGGAGTAGATCAGTATATCGTCCAGATAGGCGAACACCCACCGTCCCAGCATGTCGCGGAGGACATCATTAATGAGACGTTGGAAGACAGCAGGGCTATTGCATAGTCCGAAGGGCATAACTAGGTACTCCCAGTGGCCGGTGGGTGTTATGAACGCTGTCTTCCACTCATCCCCGGCCTTTATACGGACCAGATTGTAGGCGCTCCAAGATCCAGTTTCGTAAAGATCCGTGCCTGGGAGATGGCATCCAGAGCGGTAGTGAGGAGCGGCAGAGGATGGTGGTCCTTGACCGTGATCTTGTTCAGACCCCGATAGTCTATGCAGGGGCGAAGATCGCCTTCCTTTTTCTTCACGAAGAAGAAGCCAGCGGCACCCGGAGAGGAGGAGGGTCGGATGAACCCCTGCTGGAGGGCCTGGGCGATGTATTCTTCCATCGCTTTGGTCTCGGGAGGCGCGAGAGAGAAAAGG